GGCACTGTCGACGGTCCGTCCGGTCCGCGGTATTATATCATGCACGAGAATCTGAATACCAGGGATGCATGTGTCCTTACATTGTATAGGAAACGTGAACTTTGGAAATGGTATATAAAGATATGGGAAGATTTAATTTCTGAACTAACCTAACCAAATCAATAATCCCATATTACTCCATTCTCTTTCAAAATGGATGAAAAAAAAGACATCACCACGCAAAATGAAAAATCAAATGGCGCCGACGAAAAGCTCCTCAAAGAGCTGGAGAACCCTCAAAAAATCAAGAAAATAGTTCGCGAAGGCATTTTGCTCGCCGGTGGCGGAGCAGCCATTCTTCTTCAAGTTGCCATGCCCGGCGTTGGCAAAGGCGTTGATGAACACAGCAACTTCTCCTATCGTCCGCTGGACCGACTCCGCACGACTATGACATACGTCTACTGCATGGCGTTCGGTACTCCAGAAGAGAAGAGGATCATCATTGAGATGGTTCATAAAGCACATTCAGTCGTCAGAGGCCCCGACTACTCTGCTGATGATCCACACTTGCAGGTGTGGGTTGCGGCAACTCTCTACGCCGTTGGCATTGATCTGTATGAGCAGATATTCGGTCGTATGGATGAGGCCACCGCCGAAGCAATCTATCGTGAATATGCCATTCTTGCAGTTTCCCTCCGGGTTGAGCCGGGGATGTGGCCGCCGACTCGTGAGGCATTCTGGACCTACTGGGATGAACAGATCGAAAAATTACAGCATCAGATAACCCCACAGGCCAAGAACGTCGCGAAGGATCTACTGTTTAATAAAGAGGTTCCTTTCTTGATCCGCATTTCCATGCCACTGGTGCGGCTCATGACCGCGGACCTACTTCCAGATCGCATCCGGGAGGAATATGGGCTCAAGACCAGTAGGAGCCGGAGGGGAATGCAGAAGGTGATCAGGGGATTTACTAAGGTCGTGTACCCTGCTACACCTAGTTTTATTCGAACCTACCCTATGCGGTATTATATGAAGGATATGCGGAAGAGAATGAAGAAGGCCCAACAACAACAACATGGGTAACTGTATTGGGTCTGAATGTTGATTGTGGATTATTTGTTTTTTTATGCTTCACATGGTGGGTGGGGCCGAGATCCGAATATGCCGCGGGATTATCTGTGGGGTATCGGCACCTTCAATAGATATTTTAATTAAGAAATAGATTCGCTACAACTCTAAACTATAGGTTCCAGCACAAAAAGAGGGGTAACGCTAATGAACTAGAGCTGGTACGCAAGCTGCCACGCTGATCACTGAGTCATGTTCATTTCAATTGGCGGATTGTTCTCGGAAATATTAACCCTCACTCTACCGGCGTGATCGACAACGTCTAGCTCCATCTGGGGGATATTTGAAATACCGAACGGCGGGGAAGTCTCCTCCCCCCAGATCCATAGCTCAGTTTCTCTTCACTTTCACATTCACGATCTCCGTCCATCGAGGAGATTGTCTCTACATCGACCGATGTGGCAACGAACCAAACGGGCCCCCCGGGCCTGTCATTGGTGTCGCCATCGGAAGGTCCGATGCGATGCATCCATTCATGGGTGCCCTTGCACGAGATGTCGTCAAGATGGTCGACGTGATTGCACACTCGGATCCAGGGCTAGCAGACAGTATGTGCTAACAGTTGCTTCGTGACTTATCTAATTCTTTTCATAGTTCTGCAAAGCCAGGAAATACAGAACAAGATACTCCTCAAAGGAACGCACCTAGCAACGATACAGCAAAGCAAATCACTCACACAGAGGAACAGATCGATGGATTCTATGGCGGTCGAACCGGGGCTAGCATAGAAACGCCTGTCGATCTCACAACTCCTGGCAACGTGTCATTCTTCTTTTGTCCTTTTCTCACGCTCAATGGTCTGGCCATCCTGCCTCAGGAAGATGTGACCTACTTGTCTTCAAAAGGGTCTTTGAGTGTTCCGGATTGGTCAACAATCAATGAATTCGCGCGGCAGTATTTTCTCCAGATTCAACCTTGTCTTCCCGTCCTGGATGAAGCAGAGTTTTGGCGTATCTCTGTCGACTCTGCTTCACATACAATCTCATTATTCGTTTTGCAAGCTCTACTCTTTTCTAGCTGCCCTGTACGTACATGTAGTACCCTTTGTGCCATATCATCCCACTAACACTATCAGTATGTCTCCTTGGAAACGCTCCAGAAATGCGGATTCAATGATAGGCGAAAGGCCAGAACAACGTTCTACAATCGTGCGAAGGTAGCTAACCCTCTTATGTCTTGCGCCTATTGGGGCGTCGCTAACATCATCAGACACTATTTGACCTCCAAGCAGAAAATGACGCATTCGCTAAAGCCCAAGGTTCCGTTCTTCTTGCCCACCATACTTCGGCTCACGATCCTCAAGCTAGCAGTATATGGTTGATGCGTGCGATCCAGAATGCTATGATTGTAGGGTGCGGACCAGGTCCAGGTGACAGAGAGATCAACTTGTCCATGATGCGACGGTTGTGGTGGTCTATGGTGCTGCGCGATCGGGTTCTATCGATCGGCCTCCGTCGTCGTCCTCAAATTACGTCTGTGGAATTTAACATGGGGGCAAACTGGCTCAAAGAGGAGGACTTTGCGGATGAAATAGTAAATTCTCGAGTATACGATCCGCAAGTCAAGATACAACTCTTCCAAGTACTGCAGGAACAATGCAAACTAGCAGTTCTTCTCACCGATATGGTTGCGTTGGTCTTCTCGTCGCAGGGAGTATCCTCCCCATCACTGTCCTTGGCCGAATTTCAGGCTGTTCTCGCTGCCATCCGGCGAATCAAGCGGTATCTGACGAAATGGGAGGCCGTTTCAATCGTGCCCCCACCTACCAGCCATGAGACCGTCTGTTTCTTTACTCATCTGACGTGGATGTACTACTAGTAGGTTAACGTCTACCCTTCCTTGACTTCACACATTTCTGATTGCTCTAGTGCCGCCCGCGTCGATCTGGCCCAGTACGAGGCGCTCATTATCGAGAAGCATCTGAACTTTACCGGAACTAATTATAGGGCCCAACTGCTGGAAACTGGCGCGGATCTCCGCAATGCGATGAATGGTTTGACAAGTGCTATAGAGTTTTTCTGTAGCCAAGGCCGTGCAGAACGAATACCTCTCAGCGTGTACGTTTCCTTCCGGTGTCGATTGGTGATAATCACTGACATCTCAGTCTGGCCTATACCGCCGTTCCCCTCGTTCTCACTGCCATCGATGTCAAGCTGTCTCCCTCCCCGGCAGAGATGGTGATCCGAAAGCGTCGTCTAGAGCGTCTAGGAGAAATCGTTCGACATTCAAGGATGCTTTATGATGTGGCCGACTATGTGGCTGTCGGGACCAATCATATTCTCCAGTTAGCATATATTACCACACAAGAGGCTTTTCTACAATGCAGAACCAACGCCATCGGCTCCCCGCAGATGCAGATAGAATCATCCTCTGCCGGCATGTCGCTCGATGCGTCCATGCTTAATGCGAACAGAGTGACGAACTGGTATGATGCCTTCCTCAGCAGCCCTCGGGCGTATTTGAGAATATCTGTATCGCTCGACTATAGCCTTGCAACTGGCCGTCTGCCATATGATAATGCTCTACCCCTTCTTGTTCGTCAAACGCCATGGGCTAAGAAACAACAAAAGCTGCCGTGGACCGTGGGGCTAGACACAGATAATAGTGCGGGATATTCAGATGGTCCTTCAGATGGTAGAGTGACTGAGGAAATAGGTTTCGTACCTCATATAAATAATATTCCAGAAGAGCAAACTGTCGATACCTCCGAAGGTGACGATTTCCACAGCCCAGTCGATGATCGCTTTCGGTTTATCGAAGCAATTGGGGATTCAATAAGGGAAGGCACCTATGGCGTGGAAGACAGCTCCGACCCAGAAGAGGGTAGTGCTGGAGAGGCTGCTATCAACCTGAATTTCTTTGAATTTGGGAGTCCGCAGTTAGACGGTATATTAAATATGGAAACCGAGCATTCACTAAATGCGGATGGGTCCCGGTGTCTAGAGATGAAAACATCTCACTCTGGGGAAGATATGAGTGATAGTGTTGGTTTTGGTCAGGGCGGATTTCAGTCGATATACACTTCCTTGCTGCGAGACTCTGTTGCTTGATCATACTGTACATTTAACTTAGTTACCCATTCTTTTCTCGATAATATTTATTCAGTCATATCCAGGTGTCCTGAAACCCACAACACTTAACTATGGCAAAGTAACAATGCTAGGTATGTCAATCGTTGCGATAGATGAGGATTTCCGCCTAATAGTTGCATGCCAATCTATTGCTCTTCTAGGCATGCTAGCAGAAAGAGGGGGTATGTTCCCCGCTTATCTCTATAAAGCAATCTTGATTAATGCAGGTCCGGCATCTAGACTTCGCCACATACCGTGGAGGGCAGTGTGTTCATTGCCGAGCGCCTCCTGGTAGGACTTTGGGCTAGGTACAGGGCTAGAACTGGCTAGCGGTAGTAAAATGCTAAGCATTCTAAGTCGGGACACCGTTTCCTAGGTAGCTCTTATGACAACCTCCTGCTAGATAGAGGTCTGATATTACCTTATTATGCTAGTCTGCAGGACTCCGTGTGTGATTCGCCCTGGCTGGAGGGGAAGATGAAAATCTACGGCACTTGACGAGATACTATATTTATCAATTTTAGCGAGATGCAGATCTGCAGCACAGCTTACGTACTCCCGAGCCAATCGTATATAAGAAGGATAAATGTTTGACCCACTATGTTCCTAGGAAATACCGAGATCCGTAGTCGAAATAAGTTCCGATTCCGGTTTATGCATTCATTAAATCCTTCCCCGCGTACTTCCCCGCATTACAAGGATATACGCGTAGAAACAAACAGTATAGTAACATCTAGATATATACTATAGAAATGATGTTTAGCTACGATGGCAGGGTATAGTTGACTGTGGGAGTCCTTGATGCTCATAGACATGATCATAATGTATCCTATCATTCCATATATCGCTCTTTTCTTCTTTGTCTTTCAGGTATATGGATCCAATTCAGCAGCAGACGGCTCCAACCCAGTTCCTAGGGCTAGTCCCGATCTAGGTAGCATATTGGAAGATATTTTCGATAGTCTCATCCCAGAAGGTACAACAAATAGCACATCGGAAAATGTTGGGAATGTCATCGATGGCATCATAGGTTTATTCTCACCAACTATTGTCAAGGATGTCGTTTCATCAGTTACTCACATGGCGGACCTTTTCGACAACCAAACATCGGTGCAGACAAAATCACTTATTCAAATAGGAACTGACGAACTCACGAATGAGACAATCAATGAGGTGACCAGCTTATTGGATAATGCAAACGTCCTTCTAACCGCGGACAACGTGGAATCAATCAACAACCTACTTGAGGAAGCATCCCCTCTTCTTACAGAAAATTTCCTCAATGAGATAAACAACCTCCTCAACAATACCAGCACCCTCCTGACGTCTTCCTTTGTCAATGAAACGAAATCACTCATCACCGAGGTCGATCCGCTGCTGTCCGATTTATCCTCCAACTCTTCTGCTATATATATCCCTGAGTTACTCACCTCTGTCAACCAGTACATCACACCGCATGCCGCCGACCTTGGTAGCTTACTCACCAATGTCAATGACCTCCTTACCGCAGACTTGGCCAAAGAAATCGCGAGTCTTGTACAAGAGGCTAACGGGTTCATCTCATCTCACGTCGATGCCATTCAGCCTCTCCTTAACACCGCCATCGACCTACTTACCACCGACGTTGTCAACAATATTAGATCAATAGTAAACTCCACCGCGCCAGTCCTTACGACGGAGCTTGTTGACAAGCTTAAAACCACATTAGACAGTGCTGGTGATCTTCTTACAGCCGGTTTGACCAACGAAATCAACAATATCCTTGACAACATTACACCCTTCTTTACAGCAAGCACCGTTCAGAAGATCAACGACCTTCTCAGCAATGGCGACAATCTCTTGACAGCTCAGATGGTGAACAATACGGAGGCACTCATCTCCGCCGGTAGCCAATTCCTCTCTGACCAGACGGTGCTTAACAAAGCCGAAGCATTGATTCCCATCGCCCTCGAATTCCTTAGTAACGAAACGATTAACGAAATCTCAGCATTGATCCAGAATGGAGACGGTCTCCTGACCTCAGACTCGGCTATACGAACAGGCGACTTGGTTGATAATATCTCCAACTTCCTTACCCAACAGACCCTCGATGAGGTTGAGAGTCTATTGGACGTTGCACGGACTCTTCTCACAGCTGAGCTTTCCAATATAACAGGTACTTTGATCGGCACGATAGCGCCAGTAATAACACCCGAAATGCTTCAACAAGTAGCGACTCTCCTTAGCAATGCAGGTCAACTCCTTACCACCGATGGCACGGATCCCATACTGCAGTTGATCCATAGTGTCGCCCCAGTGATTGACCCCACAGTCCTTGGGCAAGTTAAGAACCTTGCGGAACATGGACACACTCTCCTATACCCTAATCGTACCCACACGATGACAGTTTTAATTGATGGTGTTAGTGAGGTATGTTTATTTAATTATAGACTGCTGCGAACACTGCTAACATCAACCAGCTCTTCCCCAAAGTAATCCAGTTGTTCGATGACTTGAAGCCTTTGAATTTGACGGGTATATTATCAGAGCTGACTTCGGGTTGACGGGCATAGGAATGGTTCCAATCCCCTGGCCCCATGACATGGTGTACATAATGAAGAACAACGAAAGGTTTAACGATGATGCATCTTCCCATCTTTAGAAAATATGAAAACACTCTATAGCCAATATTGCATCCGGGACCCGTAATAACTAGGGGGCTGTCCTACCCTAGATATAGCTCTCGCCTTCCTCTCGCTCCTTTTCTATTCCTTGTTTCTTGTTTGCATTCCTCATTTGATAAGTTAATATGCCGACAGCTCTTGCCCGAAACTCCTTCGCAATCTCCCATTGACTTCCATTATATTATCCAACCTTTGCTATTCCATCTCGATATTACTCTATTGCTTCCTGCAATGCCGGTATTATTGTCGGCAATACACCACAGCAGCTAAACGAGAGAATATAGGCTCAGAAGCAGCTCCTCGTCATCCCAGAAAGTGGCGCCATCCCAAGGAACAAACAAAAGGGAAGCCACTGCCCCCAGCCTTGTAGAAGATATGAGGCCAGTTTCAGCACAACAAAGGGGCTAGCAAATTTCAAATCCTTCTACCAGACATCCATTCATCGCAGCCCTAAGGAAAACATAGCCCTGAATCTATCAAGCAATTAATGAAAGACCTATTAACCTGTTAGAGCGTAGCTATTGAGAAACTAGCCATACCTTGCGTGAGAGGCCGAATTTTAGTCCAAAGCTATAACTTGTCTCTTTCACGCCTTCCCCCAACTTAGTCTATTTGTCAAGTTCTTGTGTGCCCATATCAGTATCTAGGGCCCTGTCATCTAGACAATTAGCAATGTAACGGGTCACTTGCAGGCTCGATAATATACCATATATATCTGTATCAGCTTTCTTCATACATTCAGAAATCCCTAATTCATACGTGCTCTCCTTACATATCCCTTCGCTCTAACAGGTACTTACCTATTAGGTAATGAATAATTATATATTTTGGTATGTGGGACCTGCACTAGGACTCTTCTCTATAGTATCAGCGATCAAATTCCACCACCTTAGAGAATATACTATATAAACTGACCCTCTGTATACTTACCAAAGTAATTATGTATATAAGCGGCATGGTGAGAAAATTGTAGAGCACCCGAACGTTCTTGGGTGATTTTGATATAAGGGCTGTGGGTTTTACAACCTCCGCAGAAATATGACTAAGCTCGGCTACTGCCACGAGAGATTTATTTAGGATATGAGTGACAACATGTTAAGAAGTGAAGAGACAGCTTTGGCTCTGCCAGATTAAAATATCTTAGTTATCACGCTATTTCAGAAACCTATTCCTTATAATAAAACACCCTTGTGAGGCATCTAATCTAGGGGTCGGGTGATACAAAGCCTTTTACCGAAAGACCATCATTACCCGCGAGAAACTCCTGCAGATCCTAGAATCTACTAAGTAGCACATTGGACAGCTTAGGTGCAGCGTACCTTATATCTGAGCATCCCGTGTCTTGGCTTCACAGTTCCTTGATTGCTGGATTTCTCGCCTGGCTGTGGCGGCTAGGCCGACCGTCCCGTAGCCCTAAATGATGTACTTTACTTACGGACGATAGCTACCTTTTCTTGGTGTAAAACAATAGTAAACTTGTAGTGTACATGACAGTATAATACTCAAAAGAGTAATACAGTGAGAAGAATCCAAAAAGTACCCATTTGCAACGAGAACATCCCCAAAGAGCCAGATCTCTTCGCGCCGCTTTCACATACATCTGTAACATTGGCCAAACTTCCAGCTTTACATCCCTTCTCCGTTTCTATCGCAGCAGTGATATCATCAACAACTGTCTGATTCAACTGCAGTGCACACGGATTGGGTCTGAGCGCGGTTTCATTCAATATCGGACACGTATCAGAATGTGTCCATAACGTCCTCGTCCAGTCCATAATTTCAAAAGTAACCGGTTCACCAAAGCGATCCTCCCGGCGGTCAAGGAGGTCAACGGCCCTTCCACCGGCAGCACTTCGAAAGATGACCTCTTTGCGTGGCTGGGATAAAAGCCATCTCTCGCCTGAGGACTGCGGACCAGTACAATTCTGCGCGAATCCGAAACGACAGGAATATCGCCATTGGCCCGAGGTAAAATTACGCAGACTGATGGGGAAATGATAGTAGATGAATGGGTCGGATGGTGCTTGATCCCGCGTATGGTATTCGCCGCCTGCATAGTACTGGAGCTCACGCGGTGGGAAGTAACCCTGCTGAAGGCGTGTGTCTTGGTCCACCTCCTCTAGCTTCCAGTATATCATAACTCCCTGAGGCCAGGCGGCTTTGGCGTTTTGAAGACCCAGTATGGGAGAGAAGTAGTCGATGGGCGAATACGTATCATTGCGCGGGAAAACAAGGTGGCACACATGGCAGAACCAAACTGAAAATGCCAGTCGATACCTCTTTAGTGGTACGGAAGACGCCATTAGGGACTTATCCAAGATTATATGAGACGGTCAATTAATCCAAAGAAGCTCTGAGGGTGCTACGCCGCCAACGGAAATGTCTGCCACGGAAATCCAAGCATTGATTGAACGTGCCTTCTATGGTTATCTTATCCAACGTATTTGGCAGGGTTCGGGCACCAGAGCGTTTGTCATTGACACCAATCATGCATGCGATGGGAGTAATCCCATCTCTGACTACCTAGATGACACCGATGCAGAGGCCACCGCGGTGTGCTTCGAAGATAAACTGTACTACGTGGCGTATCCAGATGGCAATCCGGGAGATACATGTCAATTGCCTGGCTCTACCCCTGTTTGTGTACCGCTGAAATTCAAAGTCCCTCCGGTGCTGGAGGAGTTGACTGGGGAAATCCGGGAATATGGTGGCGTGAAGCCCGTTGACAAAGTAGCAAGGTATGTTGATTTTTCCTTTTCAATCCCCATGTTCTTCCCACCTTTCTTCCAACGAAGCAATCTAATTCGTGCCAAGTAGCACCGTCTGCTCTTACCAGACAAACGGCAACAACAACGGTTGGAAGCTGAAAAGTATGGGTGGCGTTGCTAGCGTTGACGACCTGAATGTGGATGCACTTATTACATATCAGATCGGGGCCCCAGGGTTCAGTACGCTTCCACTATGCAGTGCAGAAGAGGCACATCTGAACTGGGGTATTGGAAAGGAGACAGACAACTATCCATGTAATTAGGGTGCTCTCGCTATATTAAATCAATTTTAGAATGGGATACATTAACTGTACTTGACTGGCATGTCCCAGGTGGCCTTCTTGAATATAACCATCAAAGGGATCCATAAAACGGCTTCAAGGTCCGTTATATACAGATAGAAAGGACACGATATATGCATTAAAAACATTAATTTGCATCCGGATATTCAAAGGCCTAAAGCATCACAATCTTGAAAAGAGAAGATGGTTTCTAAGACTTGTGCAAGGTTTGATATAAGAGATCATATGTATGGATGCCTTCGATTTGACGGATTGACGAAGAGGCGAACGCCCAGTATTGAAGGAGTCGACAGCAAAGATCGTCTGCTTCCTTTCGCTTACACGTTAACACCTGCCTTCATATCGTATGAATTCGGATAGTTACGAACAGACCGGTACTGTCACCAAATGAAGCAGGACGGCATACAGTGAGTTCAATGGCCTACGCAACCTCCCAGAGATTATCAAATGTCCAAGCGGCAGGGTCACCGAAGAAATACTGCTCCATTGAGGGAACAGTTGGATCGAACTAGAACATATCAGTATGCATATCACTAATTATGCGGAACGAGGGGAGCGTAGAGGGAGCATCCTGACGAACCTGAGAAAATCCGGCATCATCCAAGGACATCTCTGCTGGGTCTAACACGTCGAACTGGCGTTCAGCTTCCGAGGGGTTTCCCTGTATGAGACTCTTTAGCATGCACCGTTCCGAAGTCTAACATCAGGGCAGCATTCGGCTACCTGTCTGAATTGTGAGGAGTAGATTCTCTCCTTCGCACGAGAGAACTGTTCTTGGGACGCAAGCACTCGGTAGTACTGTCTCACCACTTGGTTGATCGCTTCCTGCTTAAGCGTGCTGGACTTTGCCGGTTGTGTCTGTGATCGAAGAAAGGATATTGCAGCAGATATGTACCAATGATACGTGAACCCGGTTCCAAGATAGACGATACTGTCCTCCAGCATAGTGAGAGCGTTTTGGATATATTGCAGTAATGCGTCGCGATCCACTGGAATACATAGATCGGCTGCATTTTCAATTAGCAAAGACAATCATATTTAGAATGACAATAAATTAATCAAAATAGCTTACCTTGAAGGTCTGAGGATAAATATGCGAAGTGAGAAAGGTTTAACGCTCCTCGGAAGTAGTCATGTCTTAAGAGCAATAGCATTAGGTTTCCAGACTGTACCAGCCGCCAATGCTGATCGATCATGCTGGCAGCAGCGTTGAAACAAACCATCCTTGACACTGCATATCGCGAATTTGTTTCTGTCTTCCTGGCGAAGGGGGCGTGGAGCAAGACCAAGAATTGCCGGAGTTGCAAATACAGAACTGCTCTTGCCATCTGAGAAAGCTTTCTTTCACTGGCCTCCTCGCTGTTGTTGGTTGGGGCGGGGAGATTCCGAAGTTCACTCATGATCATATCTTCGTATCTGAGAATATCCTCATAAGGCAAATCTGACGTGAGGTCATTCATCCGAGAATTCAATGACACACGCAAGTCTAGGCTATTCCTACATAGACGCAAGAACAAAGTCGAAGTACTGTGCCCGGATGATCCCTGTATCTGCGTAGAATCAGATTCGGGTCTTAGGTCATCATCATCGATATCAACTGGAGGTGCACAGTCCATTCGAATTGCAGCCAAGGCCGAGGGCATTCCGCGCTCAACCGAAGCCTGCAACTCCAACTCCGTCATTGTTGCCCAAAGTCGTCGGCGAATCTCCTGGTCAAAAAAGGTTATCTTCCCTCCCAGACGACTTGGATCGCGATGAAACCCAGCCGCCATTCCCTCTCTCACCAAGTCGCCTGCCACCGACCACATGCGCTTCTTCTTGTAGCGGCACATTTGTTTTGCAAGCACGAGTAGACAGCGAATCTGCCATATGACTAAGTAGATGTTTTTCTTACTTTGTTTTCCAAGCCATGCCTCCGCGGTTTCAATCCACAATGAACCCCGTTCTCGACCAATACTACTGCTGCCTACGTAGGTTCGGTCAGTTGTCGCTGTACAGCTGACGGTAGCCATGATCAGTAGAACGAGGACAATAAACCCTGGCTTTGCAGCAGTCCGGTCCTTCTGTAACTGGTCATATTCCTCCATGAAAGTCGGTCTGTGTACAATTCTGTACATCGTTTCTAATGTATCAAAATATAGCCGAACGGATGCGTCCATCTCTGCCTGGTCAGGGAGCAAAAGCAACAAGTCTGCAGTTTTGACTGGCAGGTTACTGGGCTTCTCGTATTTCCATTTCGTATCCAATGCCTTCAGCTCTTTTTGGACTCCAGGTAAAGAAGCATGGTGCTTGATCGTCTCCTTCATATAAGAACGGAGCTCGGGGAACTGGATTCTCAATGAGCATTGTACTCGCATTACATTGTAATAACAACGCTTACATGACCGATCAAGCTAGTCGGGTTTGTACTCCCATAATACTGTGTCCTATAATTCTCGCCTCGGAAGACCACAGCCTCGGTTGGCTTTGGCTCAGGAGGATATGTCAATTCAGTCACGTCGGCTTTAATGGCCGGTCGCTCTTTACCAGTCGTAGCTCCATCGACATCACCACCTATCAGCTGCCAAGTACCTGCATGTTCCGTCAGGTCCGAGACAATAGGTCGATTGTTTACATTGCCTCTATAGCCCTCTAGTGAGGAGGAGGCAGTGTTCCCAAGGACAGGGGTAGCAGCAGTTAGCACGGATCTGTTTTGCCCCGACACGTCTGATGTTCGCTGATTCTGATGCGATGGAGCAGGGGGGTCCTCGTATGAGCAGGAATCAGAGTTGCCGGTTTTTCGACATCGACTGCAGGACGGATATTCACGGTCGCAAGCAAGTTTTCGTCGTCGGCAGAGTGAGCAAGACAAGGGTTTCCGCTTTCTCCGGGCGATCGGTCGACTTGGCGCTGTCGGCTCGGACATCCCGTGAGCGCTATTGGGTAGCATTGTACTCCTTGAGCAGAAGAACAGGCGTCTTGTTATCAGATCGGATTAGAATCTTATCAGATGGTGAAGTGAAGAGCGGAGGTCCGAGGGGGTTGCGGAGATATAAGTCGTGACGTTGGTGAGGTTCGGAGAAAGGAGGTGGCCTTCGGCGATAACCACTCGGCGATAAGGAAAATCAAGATTATCATGATCACAATCAGATAATGAGAATGCGTGACCATCCCTGCCAGGGAGATTTAGATATACCTGTGTTGAATTGACATAACGATGCAATAGAGGTATGGAGTGGTACTTACAATAATAACAATTTTCATAGTCGATGTTAAGCTCTTTGTGTCGCTCAAATGGCTTTTCATTCCAAGTTCAGTCACAATTTCTTGCTCGAGTAGTTATCGTCATGGGTCATTAGGAAGCCCTAGGGCTAGATTGTAACCAAGCTTCAATCAAAACGCAAGGTCAATATTGAGATCCGATTCAGTAGTAGCAAGTTGCCAAGTCTGACTCTTGTTGATCATCTCGGAGATAGTGTTCATGTGCCTATGTAAGATCCGAGGAGCGAGCGGTTATATAAAGCTTGTCATCTCATGGTTTAGCTACCCAACTCATACTCTTCACACTCCCCACCCATTCAACAACTCGGTTCTGCTATATCACAATCCAACATAGTGTATCTTATTGAATCACCAAAATGTCCACAAACACCACCCTCCAAAACGCAAAGGAAGTCGACTCCTACGCCGTATCTCATCTAGTTCCAACCGATCAAGCCCTTACCGACACTATCTCCCACTGCGCCAAAAATGGTATACCACCGATTGCCGTTTCCCCAGCTCAGGGAAAATTCCTTTCGCTTTTGACTAAGATGTCAGGCGCCCACAACGTGCTGGAAATCGGCACTTTAGGCGGCTACTCCAGCATCTGGTTCGCCCGGGCCCTGAATGCCAATGGCAATAAGGGGAAGGTGACTAGCGTCGAGATCCTCGAAGATAGACGAGAGCTTGCTATGCAAAATCTGCGCAATGCTGGGGTAAAAGTTCCGGAAGAGGCCGAGGTGTTGCTAGGACCCGGTTTGGAGGTATTGCCTCGGTTGCAGGACGAAATCCAGCAGGGGAAGCGACAGAAGTTCGATTTTGTGTTTATTGATGCGGACTGGGATAATCAGTGGCATTACTTCGATTATGGTGTCAAATTATCCAACGGCCCTGGAGCTGTCATATTGATTGACAATGCCGTTCAAGTCATGCTGGAAGATGGAATCGTGGGACCAGAGAAACGTAAGGAAGGAGCAATATCCGTGGTAGAAAAGGTTGGACAGGATAGGCGAGTAGAAGCAGCGCTTATACAGACGTTGGGTACAAAGAGCCACGATGGATTTTTGATGGCTCTAGTGGTGTGATATTTGCTTTCTGGTTTGTTGACCATGAGTTTTCGAGGTGTTATTATATGCCCAAGTCGCTGTCGTATGAATTGAGGATATTTTAATTTTGAAATTGATTAAGAATAATTCAAACAGCCTCTTTCGAACGATGGGACTCGTTACGTACCTAGAGTATACTAGGGGTGCAATTATACCTACCACGTTCGTAGAAGCACCTCGGGTGCCTATTTGCTACAAGTGAGTTTCGTCTTAGCATCTCTCTACTGTTACTTTGCCTTTAGTTCTGAAGAAGCTGGCCTATCCTATCCACAGCGTACAACGTAATTCACTTGAATCAAGTTCAAATATATATCTCCGCTAAGGTGCACTCGGTCCTGCTCCCTTACTTAACTCCGAACAAAGCTTCTCTGTCAACCACTTGAGCATCAACAAGGTTTCATTATTCTTTTCGATCGCTGTTCTTTCCTCGCTGCTAAGGCCCTCATATGAATATGATATACTTTGGTTCATAACATCAGGAAAAGTGTATTCAGCTGAACTAGTCGCCTCGCCATCTCGGGAATGGAGCAGAGAGAGGATCCACGGCCAATCGCGACGAGGGTCCTGCTCACTGGATCCCTCCAGAAGCGCCAATACTAGCTTTTTGATTTCTTCGGCTAGCAGAAGCCTATGTTGTCCCGCTTTAATCATGGACTGGGACAAGTCAAGCTCGTTATTTGCAAAAGTGCTCGTTGTCCCTACTGTACTCAAGTCCTGTGATGGCTTCTTCAGGTTTGACGACCACTGGGCATGCTTTTCAAGATCTCTACAATTGCTTGAAGATGCCAGATCTGAATCGTCCTTCTTCTTATTCCGAGTCTTGCGTCTTGATTTGCCTAGTCTCAAGATATAACCAGCAAAGTGAACAAGCGTCCGGACACCTATTTCACCCATGACAGTGACAAGATTGGTCAGAACTGGAATAGCGAGTAACGACCAGAAGACGAAGAAAACTTTTCCAAAGTTGCTGGTAGGATAGAAGTCTCCATACCCAATGGTTGTTAATGAGGTGTATGTAAAGTAAAGAGCTGTGAAGTATGTCCAGTTCTGGTTGCGTTCCGATCGACGAAATACTGCGGCGCTGAGAAGCCATAGGACAAACCATGCCGTCACGAAGAATAGAAGGGCTTGCCATTGGACTCTTCGATTGAAGTCGGATCGGATGCGTTGGAGTTCCACGACGTCACTTGTTTGAGGAAATGTCGCAGTGGATGGTATGCTGGATAATGTTATGTTGTCGTTGTGTTCATCATGTGTGAGTCTGGGTGATTTCTTTTGTTCCAGAAGCCTATTGCGTGCTTCTTGGAGCTCCAATCTCAGTCTCATATTTCTGATGGTCTTCTTAAATGATGTTATCGAGCTGACAACGAGACCCAGTGCGATAATCCCGGCAGTGGCGTATGGAAATAGTAGGCTTCTTCCGAGATGCGTCTTAGGAACAATGTTCCCGATTCCAATAGTGAGAACAGTATAGTCGGTGAAGTATAGGGCATCCATAAAAGACCACCCTTCAACAGTGCTGTACACACCTGCACCGCCAGTAACAACGATTATAAATGTGATGGTTCGCAGGATAATGCTTGTATATTCGACTGTCCGCCTGTCATGGCGACTTAAAGAAGCTGAGCGCGCAGTGGCAGTATAAGCTGCCAGTAAAATTGCAATAAAAATATACAAACTTGCAGTTAGGATGCCGTAGAAGTAACTCTGGGTATACTTTAATGACTGTCGTGGCTGCACTATTGGATGCCGTCGAGTAGTAACACCTATCAGACTGAACAATAATGCTCCTGCAGTTAGCCAACCCGATAATACCACAATGAATCCTTTGTGTGGGTTTCGTTTGGCCATCATTGTCAGTATTAGCACGATGTATGATATAGAAGCCAGAGCTAAGGATACCGCTTTGAGTGCGACCATCCTGCAGGATTTCTCATTGTTAAAGCCTAGAGCAAAAGGAAAGGGCGGAACGATACTCACCAAGTTGGTTGAGACAGTATGCTTATGCTCCCATCAGCATTTTCCTTTTCCTGCCATCCTTGGGAGACAGTGCAGATATTGAACATGATTGCGATAGCACATAGCGTACCCTGAAGACCTGTTAGATGGCTGCAAGTGAGACGGTGGTGAGGACGGCAATTACGGCCATGACAGGAAATGGTGCTGCGCTGCGCCACCAGCGGCTAGGCAGGCCATTAGAGGGATCAGAGCGCTCCAAGGCATTGCGAGATTCTCCCTTGGGTTTCCTTGGTCTTTTGCGCTTCGACATGAATGAGTGCCAGTCTATCATGATAGCCCTAGGACATTCCTACCCTGCCTGCCACTTTGTGATTCACACGGCTTGGTGATGTAGGCTGTGTTACGTCGCTGGCTACATTAGGCTATAATATCCGATATATATATCGGTAGCTATGGGAATTGGGATATATAGCGGTCATTTGGCTGAAGTCTGTTGAATCTCGATCCATGGTTGTGGCTGAGTAAGGAGGTCTGGCCATTCCGAAGACAGTCGACCATTGGCCATAGTAACACGGGGTTGCGGAGTAACAGAAGACCGAAATTATGAATGACATGTTTCTTCTGAATTAAGCTAGATCTCAATTGATAATGGAGATGTTCCTGATGGCTCTGCCAGACCGGGAAGATACAGAGCAAGTGTATTATATCGGAATTGAAGCCCTCATAAGGAACAAGAGACGCTGAGTAGTTTATTAGTTGATATGATAGTATAGGAGCTCATAACGGCATACTTCAAGAGCCAATTGCTGTTTGTTACGTTCCATTGCTCTCGTCGAATGGAACGTCTTCAGCAAATTTCAGGGACAGGCATGAGTCAAGAAAGGTCCGGGGGCGATGGTTAAGCTGCCGTTGGGGGTATGTTGGCAGGTAATTCTTGCCAAAATTGAATATGAGTGTAAAGTTCACACTGAATAGCACAATGTTAGCTGCTTAACTATCACCCAAGTACTAATCTCCCGGTGTTTTGGCTTGAACGAAGCCAAAACAGCTTGGTGGGTGGCGTGTGTAGGGTGAGTGCAATATAATCAAGGTCAGAATAAGCACCGTTTGTCGCGTGGGCCCCCCAATAATGGTCTCCACAATACTCCGTATGCCTTCAGCAATCGCTCTGGATTGTTATATCAGGCTAGAACTATCGGAGCTGCTGCTGCGGGGCTAAGGGATACAATAGACCCGTGCATGTAGAAGTAGGAAGCATTTATGGCGGCTTCAAACCAAGAGCCCACACAGCAGAGTAATTTAAAAGGTTTTCGAGGTAAGATAATTCCATCGTAAGGCGCTGGGCACTACCAGGAGCCACCTGCTGTGGCATTGTATTATATCATTGATTCTCTAATTCCCTCACTCAAGTACTAAAACTCGCAAACAGGGAATTCTGTGAACATGCCTTGAAAAGCATCCCTGTTGGAGAGGATAGTTATCTACACAAAATGTCAAGACACAAGATTCGAGAGAAACGGATACAAGACAAGTAAGAACATGAAATTAGCGGCCAGATGTCATTAATTCAACGCGGTAAATCTTGTTGCGGCTAAATATATAGAGCCAATTTTCCACCCATGCCATGTTCACTGCCACATCACCATCCGCTACTTTAATCCGCCCAAGGAGTGTGCCACGAAAATCATATACGTCGACCGACCCAGTCACCGCTCCATAGACTCGGTTGTCCTTGTCAGTCTTAATGCCATCGGGGAATCCGGCATCAGAGTATGAGAACACATTTCGGTTTGATAGCCCAGAAGAGGTGACATCATGGACATAGATAGTCCGGCCACCTTGGGGATCCGAGCTAGAATTCCCTCGGTTGGTGATAAATAGTTTGGTCTGGTCCTGACTAAATGCGAGGCCATTGGGGTTGAAGAATGCACCCTCTGCTGCGCCAGCAACCATCTTGATGTTTCCTGTGCGCATATCCCAGCGGTAGATACCATTCGCTAACTCGGGGAAGAGGGTGTCGTTGAAGTTGTCCCAACCATAGTATCCATCCGTAAAAAATGCCACGCCCTCATCGGAGATGACAACGTCATTCATTGAGTTGAATCGATGGCCGTAGAAATTATTCTTTACCACCTCAGTCTTCAGCGTCTTAGGATCCATGCGGACGATGGAGCTAGGAGTCGTAAAATTTCCCTCCTGTGCCCAATACACCGATCCATTGAACCGATATGCTCCGTTCGCAATTGTCAATGGGGGGTTCGGATACACCTTGGTTGTGTTGGGGGATGCTGGGTCCGTAATATCCACCTTCCAAACGTAAGGGATAGCGCTCATAGAGTGCCCTTCTTTGGGGGAGAACAGCTCGGCCACAAACAGAGCATTCTCTTCGGGCACATAGACCGATCCGTCATGTATCTGGCGTTGTGCATACAGTGGCGGATTGGGGAAGGTGAAGATCTCCTCGACCTGCTTCTGTTCAAACGGTCCCGAAATACCAAGCAGCTAATGGTGCCATGTTAGCTATATGTTTCTGTTGCAAGATAGCAATCGATCAGAGACGAACGTTGTAGAAGTCCGGGTCATAGACTACAAACGAAGCATTTGCAATCATCTCGAGGTCTTTTTGAACCGCCGACTTATTCTTGCCACTCAGCAGGTCGGTTTCCCACATAGGAACAGTGATGTTGCGATTAAAGTTTTCGTAAGGAAAGACATCATTGAATGACTGCGTGACTTCCACCACGGAAGGTCCCACGATAAGACCAGTACTAAAGACGATTGTAGGAAACAGGGATAAAAAGACGGTGGTAACAAGAGCCATCGCTTCTTTCTCGTCCGAAGATACACAGAAGAGCGCAGAGAGTAAACAGTTGAGACAGACCTGCCTCTTTATACATTCCACGGTAGCAAGCCACTCGGTATTACACCGACAACTCGTATAGTGCAGAACCCCACAGGCGGGGAGAGCCAAGATGGCCAAAGCTTCGAAGAAGGTAGGGACCATAACATGCCAAGTACGACTCTTTTTTGAGCAGCGACGACGAGCTAGTGCCATTCGCAGTCTAGGACCTCTAGCGTCAATGTGCCACACTCTCCCAAAAGCACCATATCATCACACCAGTGGGAACCCGGGAAAGGTCGTATTCTTCTTTTCGTTCGAACATGTCCTATACAGTACCCAGTCATTACGGCGCTGACATTTACTTCACTCCGTAGGGACGAAGGTAGGCGAGGCAACTGGCGGCCTTTCGTATCCACACATAGACACGCTTACAAGACGAACGAGCACTTAGGATGCTTGTCACCTTGGTCCACAATGTTCAGATGTGCATACCAAGGGTCCATACTTCCTGCCACGAGCTATGCAGGCTATTAAGGAATGAGTGAGAATACAACATCTGCAAAGAGCACGCTGGAGCAAATCCACATGCTCTTGGAGAGCATAGGGCCTTGACTTGACAGGGAGAATCTCGCATTCAGTAGTCATCCATCTTTCGAAAGAGAGCGTCAAGCTCACGAAAAAACTGGAAACAAATATGAGCAATGTAGTGGCCGAGCACAGCCACGAAGGACTGGGAACGAAGCGATACCCAGGCTTTGCCCACACTGGCGGTGTCTACATTGCCGATATTACCCCTGTCCATGTAGGAGCAGAGGTACGAATCCCAAAGCCTAAATGGCACTTAGTCTCGTTCTCTGGACCAGAGCACCAAGACCAAACTCAGTGGAATCAAGAAGTCATCGAGCACGGGGGACGTCTTTGTGCATGTTGGTCACGGCAATCATCCTCGCTGTTGCTCGGTAAGATACCGACCAAGATCCACACTCCCCGCAGAACAACGCCTGATGTGGGGCTCGGTCGGACGAAAAGGCCGACTGTCCAATCAATAATATGGATGGAATAAATAATGCCGGAGATAATAATGCAATGCCCAACCAATGATTAATGATAGATAAAATTTAGGAGACGTATTAAACAAGCCTCAGCACCTATCTAGAGTACATTACCGAGTGGGCCATTTGGTCTTTGTGAGGCACGAGAATGAATTAACTCAAATCCCACATAATGCAGGGCCCACTAGATGTGCTAGGGAGGTCTATCAAGCCACGTCAGGCACAAATCCGCCACCAAAATCATTCATATACCAATCAGGCCACCCTGACCCAAGCGGTATATTTGGGCTCACAACAATTCCTGACATTTCCAATATGGGTAGCTGAGATGGCCCTGTGGCTACGCATTCGGTCGATGAGCCGTATATGCTTGTATTTGACATGGTTGGTGGAGGTGACGCCATTTGAGGAAGTGTATCGATCACGGACTCGAGAGGTATCGCGGTCGCTTTTTCCTGACTTGTAGGGCTCCCATCGGGAACTTCCGATGACCTCCTGGCCTGGCGTTGCAGGTTTGACGCCAATGGCCCACCAATCTGAGATCGAATGATCTCAATGCTGCGCCTAATACCCGGTGTTTGCTTGACTTCTGTTTCCAGCATTCGAAGTGTGACCGCTAGTCGGCCTGTGGCCATCTCCGCGAGCGCTTTGTCTTCATGTCGTGCGAGCCTCACATCAATCGTTGCAGCAGTGTACACGCAATATGATACCAGGTAACTTTGGTACTGAAAGTTGAAGAGCCGTCCATATGCTCTGAAGAGGTCGTTGACACCGGCTGCTTGTTCTGTACAAACAATCTGGGCCCTGACTGCCAGAGGGTGCTTCCGTAATTCTGCATCCCAACACCAAATAAAGAAAGGTCGATATAGTAGGATCAAGACGGTATGGCAGAGAATACTATAAAATACTCAGTAATAGCCGGTCTCTGTATGGCGTTGCTCACTTACTTTAGGCAGAGGATGTGGGGTGGGACGCAGAACTGAATATTCGCCCCTTCTTCAAATCTGAGCGAGGACGGCAGGTTTTGGTGGAAAGATACTAGTTTTTCCTCCAATCTGAATATGTCATCCGGGTTTATATTCCGGCAAGGACGAGTATATACGGTTTTGTAGCTCTCGTTGATGATCTGGATCCAGATAATTAGCAGTCACTCGTACGTACGCCAGTTTAGCATTTCCCAGAATCTCATACTTGGGCCAGATTGCAAAAATGCATGAACGTCAATGTACTGTGACATTTAGTCGCTGAGTACAATTGGTCGGTCTCCAGTAAATGGGGTGGTTGCCACAGATCACCCTCATCTGATAGATCAACTATAAAAATCGTTAATAACACTAAAACACAGTAAATACAGTATACTTCGTGGCTGGATGCAACACACATAGGGTGGAGGGAAGATACGGCGTATCCTTTAGGGATGGGGGTCGCCCTAGGCACAGACTAATAGATCTTCAAAGGGGCTAACCATCAGTCTCAGTCTAAAACCGCAGTTAAGGACTCTTAGGAGAAACTCACTTATCCCATGCATAGACTGACAGATACAATCGCTTCCGGACTTCCAGATCATCAGGTTCGAATTCCTTCATGAGTGAAGCCTGGCTTCTTTTTATGTGTAGCCCAAGGTCAGTTGCCATTCGGATAGCCTGAGATTGTCACTAAAGGATTGGCACGAGAACGACGGGGGTAGGGAGACTTACCATCCCGGTGTATAGCCATCCTTCGCTGCTCTTTCCCACCGCACACTGGCGGCCTCCCAAAATCAAAAGGCCTTGAATGGTGGGTATCTGAGGTTTGCTTTGTTGCATTTCGTCAATCAAAAGCAACATCGAATCTCGCAGGAATGTCTCCCCACGCTCAAACTGAGAGAAACGGGGATCATCTTCGGGCATATGGCGACAGGCATGAGCAAATATGACGTTCAGTAGAAATCGCGAAAAATACGGGCCGCCTAGAGCCATATCCCGGTAAAAGCCTAGACTTCTGGGTCAATTTGTAGAACGTACCGGGAGCGGAAAATGGACTTGACTGACAACGTCGATATACGCAGTTATGTAGTGGTGCCTGCCATGACCAGTATACGTCCAGAAGACTGGAACAAATGTTCGGGTCAACATGGGTATAATTACTCATATTTGCATGTGCCATTCTTTCCCACAGGCCCTGGAAACGGGCATTCGAGTAAAGCCATTTGCGGTGGTAGTTTTCCAATTCTTTCGTCTCTGGTTCATTGATTTCGACTTCGGTATCGAGCCGATGGTCATGCCCCGGCATAGGATGAAACCGAGAGGTCGCTCCAAAGTAATGCTGCTGAATGGGTATCAGCGTGATTTCTTTTTTTGGCATAAAACACGAAGCCACAAGAAGACTTACTCTTCCTTCCGTGTCTATGCTGAACTGCGTGTCGCCATCATTAGACACATCATCTGCAGTATAACGGTCCTGGGGTCCGCGATCAGTAGATGAAGGTCTAACATCTGTACTCTGAGCCAGCTCGGCAGGCTCTGGCCCGTTCAGGTCAAGCTGAGATACCAAATCTGCAAGGCGACGGTCTCGCCTGGCATTGTCCATGGCGACTAGTTCTCTAATGTGCTTCCGAAGCTCCTGGACCCGGGCTTGCTCCGACCGTAGCGCCTCGGCTAGATGAACTGTATAAGCTGTTTTTTCTTTATAGGAACATGTCTCTTTTAATCGTGCACAGTTGACGCAGGTCGGCCATCGGCCATCGCACTTGACCTTGCGGCGCCGGCAGACCAAGCACGCAAAGCCATACCTCCTTCCTTTCGATCTGGAGGCAGATTCCATTGTAATTGAATAGTTTGGAACCTCAGCCGCAGCCCGTGGGGGAATGAATTACATACGGATATCAGGTGAGCGATGGCGGCCGGGGTTGTGATTATATAATACTTTAGTCTTTCCCCGCGTCTCGTCCCATGATTCGATGTCTTACATACGTAACGTAACGTAACGTATTAGGGTAATAGGTAGGTCACGTGAATACGGGGAGTAATATTACTGTATATATTATAGTTATTACTACATAGACTACATATATGAAAGGAATATTCATAATTTATATTACTTCGAAAAGTTGGTAATTTTAACATGATTATTTTAGTTTAACCAGGAAGGTTACCATCAACCGGAAAGACTGGGTTTCAATTTAATCAAAGAAAGCAAATCTGCAACCTCATGCTCAGATGAGCTCAGACCAGTATTTCCATTCACAGCATGAAGCGGTAGCTGGGGTGCTCATCTCCGGCATTTACGACATCATTTGACATGTCACTGCTATGGACAGGGCCGTGGATCCGGTCCCGCTGCTTGTTTTCCCTGGACATCAGGGCCCTCAAGACCTGAGCGACGATGGCAGCAAAGAAAAGAAGGCCTGCACTAATGGCCATCCCCTTGGTGTAGAACGGCCCTTCCTCCTTAGGGAAGAAACGAGAACCAGCGATTGACCCGGTTTGGCCCACCATCCCGAAGATAACTAAACCTGCGCCTCGTTTAGAGGCAGAGCCTTGGTTGTCCGTCACCCAAGTAAAAGTAAGCGCCACAGCGGGAAAAACGCCACCGCAAATGAGATATACAGCGAAATACCGAACAGCACTAGCTTTGACAAGGGCTTGAATCAGGTATCCAATTGCCCCTATTGTGCTTAGTGCGCTGAGAAGATAAGAGCGATTCCTGACCTTATCGGACAGAAATGAGGATGCTAGGCAGATGAAGTAGGAGGCCAGGTAGGGCGGTGCGGAGAGACCCTGTGCTCTAATCGAGGAATATCCAATGTCCTCTATAATTGTGGTCAAGAACGCGGGTAGCGCAGCGAAGGCTGCCTAAGTTACGCAAGAAGATATTAGCCACGAAAGATTGATATATTCGAGATGGAGATAACTGAACCCACATTGAGACAGAAGATGATAACGGCTTGGAAATAATTCTTGTAGTCGTAAAACGCAGCAAAAACCTGCTTCATGTTTAATTTGCCCTTTTCCTCGTGTCCACGGGCCGAGAGTGCACGAAGGTGAACAATTTCATTCTCTCTCAGTGTAAGGAACCGGCATTCGCCGGGTCCCTTCGGAAGGAAGAAGAACGCCAGAGGCGCAATGATAATGGTAGGGATACCCTCTAAATTCAAAAGCGGACAAGCAAATTAGCACGATCCTGTAGGTTGAATTTCCCGCCTTACCAATAATAAATAAGAGCTGCCACTGGGCGAGTGAAGTTTTGGCATGGACAATACCATAGGCTAGTGCCGATGCAAAGCAGTTGGCAATTGGGGAAAACGAGATGAAAAGGCCGTAGCGAAAGCCCATCTCGGATCGATGGTAGAAGAAAGACAAAAACAAGGCAACGCCAGGGGCAAAGCCGGCTTCAAATGCTCCAATCAAGCACCGCAATACGATTATGCCGGCAAGATTAACAGTTGCAGCTTGGAGAATACTCGCCACTCCCCATCCGAATGCCATAAGAGCAACCCATAGCTGTCTGTGGTGTCAATTGCCGCGGTTACGAGAGAGAGGGATACGAACCGGTAGAGAAACAAGCTTCCACAACAGGATAAACCAGTGAAAAGCGATATAGGCTAGGTAGTACGCTGTAATGATCCAGGAGTACTGGTTGGAGGTAATACCCCATTCTTTACCCATTCCAGCCGTATAAGCATTTCCAACATTGCCTCTGTCAATATAAGACAGCATATAGAGCACCCCGAGGCTATGTGTGTCAGACTTTAGGCAAGAATAATAATATCGGTGAAACCATACAGGGGAATCAAATTCCAGTCCAGCTTCCGGAACGCCTTTAACCTTTCGGCCTCTGAAAACTGGGCGAGGGCTTCATCCGCAGGGATGTTACCATTGTCTGTCGTGACATTTTCCTTGAAGTCGCTACTCTCACCCTTCTCCATGTCCATCTTGAACGATTTCGTTTTTCCTTTCCAGCCCGCTATGACTTCCAGGTCAGAATGTAATTGGATAACTGGCGAGGGGTAGTAAGATGGTGAAAGGACGGATCAGCCGGTGGCAACTAGCTTCAAGGGAACTTGTTGAGAAACTAGACATCTTATATAGTCAGCGAGCGAGCATGGCCTCAGCTGAGAGAAGCTTCAAACTCTCATCTCCGCACCTCGCTATCAGTCCGGGGACGTTGGGTTCTCTGATAATCTGGGGTACCAACTTAAACTAGCACCAATGCAGTGCCAAGATAGTGCTAAGAGCCGGACCATCTGTTTATGTCGGTCAGATGCCGAATGCCGACTCAGTACGGCAGGGCAATAATTCAATTTCGTACGTTCTGCTATCTCAGGTTCTCTACTCCTTAGTAAGGAATGTGGTAAGCAAGGGGATTATCCAGGCAGTGAGGTTAGCCAACCAAAACATCATAGAAAATTGAATTAATGCGGATTGGCGGCATTGGCTTGCCTCTGGGTGACTACTGGTATCTGCTGCGAGTATCGGATTTAGCCGAAGAAGGTAATCAACTGCCGCTCACAGACAGTCTACAGTGCCAACGAGGAATAGACAGCTGTACGGGCAATTCTTATGTTTTACCTGACTGCATTACAGTATCCACGAGGGCTAGCTTCATTGGGGGTCACTAAACCGTGACCGGAAGGGAAATGATATTCTAGCACTCCGTGTATGGTCCACAGACCATCCATCATTCTCTGTCTACAGCCCTTGCCAATAGGCTAAAAGATTGCAGTGGCATTAGGCGGACTGGCAACACCTCCAGGGAGGTTGAGAGGCTGACTGGTGAGCATGAACGTCCAACGGCCGAGCTCTCTGCAAGTTTCACTTAGCCCTTCCAAGTCCCAACACTCGCCTATTGGCATTCCCCATCCGCTTAAAAAAACCTATACATATCAATGAGCCCCCTCATTGTTCACAAAGGGTCGCAAGAATCGTTTTGTCACCTACCTCATGCATACAAACGCCCCACGGCTTCGGTGAGGGCCATGCTTCATACGCCACGGTGTCACTAGCGACAGCAGAAAACCCTTGCTCCCAGTGCCATCGGATTGCCGCCTCCGTAGCTTCAACCCCGCAGGATGCGCGATCGTCGCGCCCTCCCAGGCGCTTTTTCTCAGCATCACTCAGCTGCGAATATGCCGCCGTCCAACCTGTACGAATAACAAGAATGTCTCCTAGGCGAAAAGTGACCCGCTGCTCCCTGGCAACCTCGAGTAAGTCTTCAAGAGGAATGGCCTGGTTTGTGAACGGGCGATGAGGAAGACCCCTTCGCTGAGCATATGCATACCAGTCAAGAAGCACCCCGCGGGTCACAATTGGCTTCTCCGCGATGTCTTATAGAATCACGACGTTAATAGGCATAACATGATATCATTTCACGGAATGCCTTACTTTGTATACCGATCTTGTGACTAGAAGAGATTTCGTCCTGGACAACACCATTGTAGAATTGTTTGGTTTCGGAGTACGGGAAATGCCGTAGCCCATCCCAGTGACTCGAACTTTGCGTGTTGAAATCGAGCTGGAGGATATGAGCCATCTAGTGTAATCTCTTATATTAACTCTGAAGGCAATTGGAAGACTCACCTCATCATCATTGGCATGTCCCTTGGCAATCAGATTATGCGCGCAGGGCTTTCTGCGGGGATTCATCGGCTTAAGTGGAACATCCAGAGGAAGGCTTCAGAATGCGTATTAGCACAGCGCACAAACTAAAAGATCGGAAGCAAGATTACTTCAGGTTTACAACTATTCCTTGTATGAACTCCGCCGAAGTAGCGCGCACAACATCGTTTGTGATCAAATTCAACGTTCCCCGCTCATCGTGGTCCCCCCAGAGTCCCCAGGCGGAGCCCTTCGGGTGGCCCTGTTTCAATGGAAGCTCGTCAAACCGTGGCCTGGAGATAGCTGAGACGGAAACTGTGTCGCTACTCGCTGAGGTTTGAAGGGGCTCGACTTGGTTCAACGTCTTGGAGAACCACCTGGTGGACAGTAGTAGTTTGGTGAGACTCATCTTTGAAATGGCAGACAGACTCTAGGAAGACTTTCGTGACTGGGACGGACGGAAAAAAAAGAAAGATTTCATCAAGCATTCCCGTCAGTGACCTCATATTGAGTGACCGTGCCATTTCATGTACGTGGATCTACTCGGTATGTTGCCGTTGAACCTTGTCGGCTTTGGAACTTACCTTCTCGGCTTTCTACCGAGCGCCGAGGACTATTAGACCACCTCGTGACGCACGGGCAAAGATGAAATTCTTCACTTCATTGCAATTGGACCTGATCTCTCCCATCATGTTGTCTGAATTCAATATCCTCACCCCCAATGCTATGCTTGGGTATGGCTATCGGGCTGAGCACTTCTGGTACGGGATTGAGAAGTTCACCCCCAAGGCGATTATCGTCGACAGCGGGTCCACTGATGGCGGACCGTACAAGCTTGGCTTGAACAAGATGACCTGCGGTCGTGACTCTTATATACGCGATCTGACTCCAGTCCTGCAGGCCTGTTTTCATAAAAAGATTCAAGTTCTGATTGGATCTGTCGGTGGTGACGGCAGCGATAAGCATGTCCAGGAGATGTTCGAAATCGTTCAAGAAATCTCCGCAAAGGAAGGCTTCTCTTTTAATGTCACCACGATATCCGCAGGCTTCCATAGAGACCTTCTGAGGCAGCGTATAGTTAGCAAGAAGGTTGGACCGTGTGGTCCTGTTGAAGAATTGACAGTGGAAAGCGCCGACCGCGCCACCGATATCGTCGCGCAGATGGGTGCTGAGCCGTACGTTACTATGGATCGCCTCCGAGCCGTGACTTGAGCTAATCCCCCAATATTAAGGTTCCTGAAAGCTCTGGAAACGTGCCCCGATATTATCCTCGGTGGTCGTTGTTACGATCCCGCTCCTTTTGCTGCATTCTCCATTTACCATGGCGTGCGCCCTGGTGTGGCCTGGCATATGGGCAAGATCATGGAGTGTGGTGGCATATGTGCACTTCCGAAAGGTCGATCAATGATCGCTACTATGCGAGAAGACTCATTTGATCTGACTCCCTTATCTCCGAGGGAACGGTGCACTCCGCTCTCAGTTGCTGCCCATACGTTGTACGAGAAGACCAGGCCTGATCGCCTGCCTGGACCTGGTGGAGTTCTTATCCTCGATAACGCTTCATATGAGCAGCTGACAGAAAGAACTGTCCGTGTTAGTGGCGCTGTATTCGAGCCGACGCATACTTACCAAGTTAAGTTGGAAGGAGTTGAACAGCTTGGATATCGCACTATCTTCATTGGTGGTATCCGCGACCCTATCCTCATCGGCCAGATTGACACTTTTCTCGCTGATGTGCGCGCTTATACCCAACGCCTGTTCCCTGAGCTGGACAAATCGCCTGATTGTAAGCTTCTCTTCCACTTTTATGGCCGCAATGGAACGATGGGTCCAATCGAGCCTACCCCAGTCGCTGGACACGACCTCGGTATTCTAGGAGAAGTTGTTGCACCATCCCAGGAACTGTCTTATACAATTGCCAACAATGCCCGCGCGTCAATTTTGCATATGCCCTACAAGGACCAGGTCGCAACAACCGGTAATTTCGCGTCTCCCCTATCACCGCATGAGACTGCTGCAGGTCCTGTTTTCCGCTTCAATATCTATCATCTCGTCGATCTTGAAGCCGGAGAAGAGATCAAGCTCTTTCCTATTACTACAAAGAGGATTGTCAATAACCCTCCTTCCTCTGATAATGGCGCCCCTCTGGGTCTTGCTGACTCTGAGAGACAAAGGCTACTCTCTGAAACCCTCGAGCCTCTATCACTCAAGCCTATTCCTCCAAGCGAGTGTCAAATGATGGACATTGCCAAAATCATCAGGTCCAAGAATTCGGGTCCCTTTGAGATGACATTTGATATCATGTTCGACACTGCGGAAGCTTACGAGCGGGTCAAGAATTCGAATGTTCTCACCAATGAGCGTATAGTGTCCCTCTACCACCTACAACCCGAAGATATTCTTGTCAATATGTTCTTTGAGCCTGCGTTGGCATGGAAGTGTACGATTCGCCGACCCTGGGAGCAGGGAACTGTGGGAGAGCGCGATACATTAGGTACTCAGCAACATGGACCTCTTTTGACCATTGTCGTCCCTGCTGTCCCCAGCAGCGCTGTCGTGACCCATGCAATAGGCAAACCACTCGTTTCTGACACCCCTCCGGATCGCTCCCATTTCTCGGCCAAGGACAGCGTAGACTATCTGTGGACGAAGCTCGGCCTACCTGCCACATCCCTGGAAAGACTTCAGCTTCCTGGGCAAGGCCTTGGGCTGCCTTCCTCCTTCAAGATAGCCCACATTGCACAGGCTTCTATCGGCCTTTCTGCCTTGTTGGCCGCGCAAGTCTATGCTTACCGTACCAATTCGGCTCTGCCTACGGTGACAGTTCCCCTGCAACATGCAGCGATAGAGTTTAAATCCGAGAGACTGTATACTCTGGCAGACAAGCCCGCTCCTTCGCCGTGGGGTCCTATCGGTGGCTTACACAAAACTTCAGACGGCTATGTGCGCGTGCACGACTCCTTTCCCAATCATCGCGATGGTGCTCTGGCTTTAGTCGGCTGTGAACCGAACGCTACCCGTGCAGAGATAGGGTCAAAGATCGAGGCATGGCGTTCCGTCGACCTCGAGGCCGCTGCTTTCGACAATAACCTTGTGATTTCCGCTCTTCGGTCGTATTCCCAGTGGGATGTACTTCCCCAAGCCCGAATGGTTACTGATTTTCCGATCACTCTACGTAAACTCTGTGATGGGCCTGTTGGTCTCCCTTCCACTATGCAATCGCCCCCTGATAAGGCCCTTCGCGGTCTACGTGTTCTTGAGGTCTCCCGGGTAATTGCCGCGCCTCTCTCTGGAAGAACGCTATCTGCTCATGGAGCTGATGTTCTCTGGGTGACAAGCCCTAACCTTCCCGATCTCCCAACTATGGATCGAGACTTCGGCCGAGGTAAACGTACAATTCAATTAGATCTGAACACGCCGACGGACCAGAACACATTATCACAGCTACTTGAGGACGCCCATGTGTTTGTCCAGGGTTTCCGCCCTGGAAGCCTCTCCCATCGCGGTTACTCGCCCAGTGCTCTTTCAAAGCGGTTCCAACACCGGAACATCATCTGTGCCAAGATGTCTGCGTATGGTCCCGATGGCCCTTGGTCCGACAAACGCGGATTTGACTCCCTAATCCAGACGTGCTCTGGCATGAACATATCAGAGGCTGAGCACTTTGGCGCTGGGGAAGCCGCCCGTCCCACTCCTTGTCAAGCGTTGGATCATGCTGGAGGCTACTTCCTCGCTGCTGGAATAACAGCAGCGCTATGCAAACAAGCGACAGAAGGTGGCTCCTGGCAGGTTGATGTGTCCCTAGCGGGTGTCATGAAGTACCTGCGATCTCTTGGTCAATACGAAGGAAAGTCAGGCTTCGAGACACAGGACTTCACATGTACCAAGGATGTCCCGGAACAATACTTAGAAACGCGAGAAACAGGCTTTGGAACTATGACTGCCATTCGGCACTCTGCTTCAATCGAGGGGGTTGACGTTGGCTGGGATATAATGCCCAAGCCTCTGGGCTCAGACCAAAAGAAATGGCTGTAGGGGGATGAGAAAGGCGACAGAATATAAAATCACCCGTTACATGGCGTTTTAGAGATTCAAAGAGAGATATACATATATATACTATTGAGAGAATGATATTCGGTATTACCTAGTAAACTAGGCCTAAAACTAAAGAGGGTCTTTTTGACGGTAAATTCCCGTCTGATTTTCCTATTTGAGCCATCCGCGATGGTTTGATTGAAAACCATAATTTTCGACAGATTCAGCCTTAACAGGTCTCGTCTATCACAAGTATATTGTCCTGCTATCTCTGACAAATGAGTAAGGGGTCTGGGGGTTTTGGATCTGGGTTTTCTGGGTTTAGGGCAGGTTCTAGGTCTAGAACACCACCAACTCCAGATGCAGCTACCTTGCCTATCGCATAATCGCATTCGTGATTAGCACAGCTAGGTGGAGATGGGCTCGCTACACATCCCTGACTACTTTAGGTTACAATGATTGATATTCACATAGCTAGCTATGGTATGTTTGATATAGCGGTCATTTGGTTGAAGCTTAATTTCGATCCGTGGTATTGGCTGAGTAAGGAGGGCTAGCAACCCCGAAGCCAGTTGGAAGTTTACATTGTATAGTAGGAGGACCATATAACCATGTTGGCTCGTAAATTGTAAAAAGAAAAAAAGCACAAAAGGAAGAGGAAAAGAACGCTGGTGGTGAGATGACCCGGGAAATCAGTCAACCAATTAAGGGCACTAAACTTCTACAAGTACTTAAACTAGTATTTTATATATACCTTGAAACATTAATGCCGATCTTTCGGGGCGATGCATCATTACGTTGATCATCTGAACTTCGTAGGAATCTTTCATCTTCCACTTTTTTCCTCCTTCTTTAAGCACTGCCCCTCTATGTACTTTTCATTTATATCCCACCCCGGCAGCGTCGAGGAAAGAAATATGCCACCTCAAAGATCAGCGAATGCAGGCAGGGCAACCTGTCCCTTGGAGAAAGACAACCCGGCGTCTTCCACTGCCACATCAAACCAGTCATGGAAGCTCAAGTTCAACGACAGGCAACTGGAGCGAAAGCGCCAGGCCGACCGGGTCACTCAGCGGAGGATGCGGGAGAAGTCAAAGCAGACAGCTGCAGCCTTTAAGGAAAAAATGAACCTTCTCATGGATGGCAACCACAATGCTCTGATAGAGCGGACACTAGCCGAGAATCAGACACTGATGGCAAAACTAAAAATGTTCCAGGTTAACTTTTAGCAGATTTATATTGCTTCAAAACAATGTCTGGGATTAGAAGAACTTGGGAGACCAGATAATCTAGTCTCTAGCGTCACCGGCCCAGCAAGCGTTCCAGATGGCTTTCTCACATCTTCGGGGTGGACGGAACCCCCGGGTTCCAACCAGGATGTTCCTGTTGTCGAACAGAGGAATAACCTCTGCGGAGCCCCTCAAATTTCCTACCTATCACAGACATGCTTCGCAACAGTAAAGAGTCGGAGATGTCTACCAATCGGTTTACGGAGGGTATAATGGCCTGCAAGTACTCCATGGGACTGACCGATGGCATGCAATTCCTAACGGAGCAATTAAACGCGCAGGTATGTGCTAAGAAAAACCGAGTTCCAGACTGGTCTTTGTTTTTCGCATCTGTTAAATCACATCTAGGTGTCCCGCACACCAGGTTCCTTCCTTCTAACTTCTATGAAAAGCTGTTCAGCCTCCTCAAAGGTAATAGCAATACAAACGCCGTGTGGTAAGCAGAAACCGCTGCTACTAAGCCCTCTAGATGCAGTGCGCCGGAAGACTGTCTATCTGGCTTATAGAATTGTGACGCCGTGGCGAAATTGCTACCGTTCTCACGCCGAGATGATTGCAATATTCTGGACACAATTCTGACATCTGCTGGTACTCTTCACTCCATCTTTTCCCATATCAGGTTTTACAGTAATCCTCGCAGTTTTTTGTCTTCCCATCTTCTGATAATCTCGCTCGGTGCCCCAGCTGGTATCGACCGATACCCACACGGCTTCTCCACGACCACCCTGGATAGCTACACTTCATCATATGGTGAGTTTGTTAAGTTATTATACAGCTCAGTCGCTTTAACCAGCCGATCTCATCAAATAATAGACCCCCATCTACGTGAGCGGCTAGCCTTGACCTGGAAAGACCACGACATGGAAACCCTCCTTTATGATCTTCTCCATGGCTTCAAGGTCCGAACTGCGAATTAAACCAGATAAGCCTCTGATTCGCGTGAAACCAAATATCAATGACATTAAATTGTCCGATGAGTTCGAGCTAGCTCTTACCGACGTGTCGAACGTTTCTATGCAGGCCAATTTCATCACCCGGTATCCAGATCTCGCGCCGTACATACGTGCCGACATCCGCTCTCTCGCATCCTTTCTTCCAACAAGTCCTGCCGTACTGCTTCCCTCACCTGTCCCGCGGCCTTCTCAGTCCACCGCCAATCAAGCCTTAGTCCCTGGCACTTTCGCTACAGTATTCATGAGTTTCTGATAGATGATTACCGGTGTCCAATTTTCGCATCGCGGAATTTCTTCCTTCGGCGCATTTTCAACCTCCAGATAGATGACGGGGTTCAGCCGGGCTAAATTGTGGTCAGAAATATCTTCCGTGAGGGATCATGTAGAGATCATACATAAAGCAGGATTCAAGTCGGTGTTGATGCAGTAAGGTGCGAGTAGCTCATCGGGAGGGGCTTTGGTGTACTTAACCTCCAGTACCTTTTCTCATTAACGCCTAGCATGTGTGTGCTCGGGGGACTAGGTAGTCAACCTTGTTAATTTTGCGGTGGGAAGACTGAGAACAGTTTCAGGTAGTTTACTCAACTCAGATAAAAGCCGACCAGGGACGACAACGTTTTTCTGACCTGAGATGCACCATAGTAAGTATTCAAATCATGGTAAGGTGTATCAAGGCGGCCTTGTACCATCTGAAGTTGGCATGACCCAGGCTTGGTCTTTGAATTGTGAGAGGGCATTAGTACATATTTGATAATGAGAGCCCCAGGTAGGGGCTGACCTTTTTATATCCCTCTTCATAGAGCTTGGGTGCGGATTCCAAGTAAGTCCTCCCCCATTTCTCGTTGCCTCCGTCAATCTCAAAGGTAGGGAGTTCGGCTAATTTGGTTCTGTAGTGAACCTGAGAAATCAACACGAAAGTTGTGAAAGCGAGAACGGCCCAGGTAGCCGTTTCAAGATTATGCAAGAGTCCAAGAATGTATTGATCCTCCATAGGTGAGAATGGTACCAAGTCTTGAGGTTGAGATGAGAAGTGTGCTTGCTTCGTCTTTTAACATCACAGTAGGATGCTTGCCACCCTGCAGTCAGACGATCATGCTTCTTATATCTTTCCGGCATTCCCGTATTGTAGATTAGTTTCTCTGGTCATTCGGTGGATGGACGTAATAGGTTTGTCAAGGTGTTGGACAACAGTCGTACGCCACCAATTTCACAGTACGCCGGATGCACATCATTCAGCCATCAGCCATTGTCTGGAGGTATAGTTGGAATACTTTCGGATGCCGGACCTCTTTACCATCTGATCAATATTAATCTGGCAGCTTTTATTTCGGAGCATGTTTAATGACTGAGGGTTTCAGGAGGAGGTCCTATTCTTTAGTTCATCTCTCAGGTAACTATCACTCGGTAGATACCACTGGATGGGTACTAACGACTCGTTGGGTACGACTCGGCAGTTAGATTGTGGGTTTATGTAAGCTTTATCTTGGGTGGCGCATTTAGTATGCTGTAACGCATGTTTTCTGCGATTAGCTGGTTCGCTTTACTTGCCCTCCGTTGGAGATGTTTTTTCCTGGAGATGAGGCGTTCTGCTACTTGAGTCCTGTTTCTTCAACCTTCTGGCAATGCCATATCTCTACCGAAAGTTGTGGACTACTGAGGAATTATATCAACGCCACAGGGCGAGCTGTTGACACCCATGCAATATATTTTTTAAAGACACGTTTCTGCTGCGTTCAGACAGTGAGTTGAAGAAGTCGAACGTAGGCCGTATATACTAATGAGACAGGAGATATATTGTTGATTATCTTCCATTATTAAAAGGATATCAATTGTATAGCTAAGATTCTGTACTTAAGGGCTCGAATCGAGGGTTAGATCACGCCTGGCCTCATGAGGTGTGCGGGATTCAGATGGTCACCAGGTTCAAATTAGCTTAATACTATCGCGCACCAATCCAGGCTGTGTGTTTATCCTACGGAATGTTTTCCATTCCCAATGGATTGAAAAAATCAGAACAGAAATGTTTCCTAACCTTAATCCTAGCAGTCCCAGTACGGTTAGCGGGTATTGATGTCGATCTTTGCAGAAAAACAATCCCTACCTACCTACACCCTGAACTCCAACTGTAGACATATAGGTCTGGTTTAAGTATAATGCCCCTACTAATCATGAGAGCGTGAGATTCACAACACGCTTACCTCTCTTTGTTGCTCTGTGGATCTTTTCTATCGACGTCCATCATTAGTGGAACACACCGTCCAATGTCTGGACCCAAGGGATAACAAGGTATGTTGATCATTTCCATTTCCCATGCCCTCGGTGTTTCACTGCATTGCAACGTCCTGAGGGATATACAAACTTGGGCAATTAATTAAATAGTCCAATAGCTAGCTAATAGGGGGGCAGTCAATACAAGGGTCGTACAAATTTTAAGTTCTGACCTCTCAGACTGGCAAACGCAGATCCTTCGACAACTTCGATTCATTGATCTGTCTTTACATTTTCTATCGTTGTACATATACATGGATTGGAATGGAATGCATCGCACTGAAATACACACGGGGTCGTCAGTTATTTATTGCGCAGGGCGTCATAAGCGAAAGTAAAGTATGATTAGAGACTATTACCCTTGGGCAGTTATACATGATTTCGAGACTATAGGGCATTTACCGCTGCAGTTCTGCACATCATCCAAATGCTACGGCTAGGATCCCTACTCTCGTTCTTCTTCATTTTCGCGGCATGTCTCGCCTACCCTGGGAGTCTTGCCAGCAGGGCCACAGTCACCCCTCCTAGTGCAGACCCCTTCTACGAACCCCCATCAGGATACGAGGACAAAGAACCAGGGACTATTCTGCGACACCGAAGGGTACCCAACCCGATAGCCCTAATCGACCCCATAAAGATCAAACTGGCGGCTGCCTACCAAATATTGTACCGATCCACCGACAACTGGGCAAACGCTACAGCAACAGTCACCACAGTTCTTATCCCAGAAAACGCCAATACCTCGAGACTCCTGTCGTACCAGATCCCAGAGGACTCAGCTTCCGTCGATTGCGCTCCATCATATATTCTCCAAACCGGCATGGACGACAGCGATATCCTTTCCAAAGCAGGAATTCAAAGCCATACAATCCTTTTCCGAGCGGCGCTGGAGAAGGGCTGGATTGTGAGTCTGCCGGATCACGAGGGTCCCAAGGCCGCCTTCTTGGCGAATCGTCGCGCTGGACATGCGGTTCTGGATGGGATTAGAGCTACCCTTGCCTCTTCGGACTTCACTGCTATCTCTCCAAACGCATCCGTCGCGATGTGGGGTTACTCCGGAGGAAGTCTGGCAACCGGATTCGCCGCTGAACTCCAGCCAACCTACGCTCCCGATCTAGACATGATCGTTGGCGCAGCACTGGGAGGGCTTATCGGCGATATCGAGGTCGTCACGTACACCGTTAACAGGGGCCCGTTTGTGGGACTAGACTTCGGGGGCTTCAACGGGATAGCGCACGAATACCCCGACATCGCGGCGTTATACGAGGATCAGCTCATCGAGAGCAAAAAGGCGAAATTCTACGATGCGAACCATAACTGCTTCTTGGCAAATGTCATTGAATACCCCTTCGAGGATATCTTCTCCTATTTCAAGGATCGCAGCATCCTAAGTTATCCGCCAATGCAGCAGGCCTTAAAGGATAACAACCTCGGACAGAATCCACCTAAGATGCCGGTTTTCGTGTACAAGGGTGCTCTTGATGAGATTAGTCCTGTCAGTTCTACGGAGATCATTGTGTCGCGGTATTGTGCTGGCGGAACGGTGGTCAACTATAAGGATGTCTTGACGCACGAGCATATACTCTTACAACTTGATGGGTTTCTGGAAGCGTTTGCTTGGCTAGAGAAGAGGATGGATGGTGAGATTATGGAGAGTGATTGTTCGCGGACTGATGAGCTGTTGCCGATCTCTGAGCCAGGCAGTCTAGGTGTAGTCGTGCCCACCGTTGAGGGTGTCGCTGGTGATGTGGTCGGTACCGTTCTCGATTAACCAAAGGCTAGGATATGACTTTTGTTTTTCTTCTTTTCGCTCCTTTGTGGTGCTGGCCTGGACTCTCAAGTCCTCACAAAATACCCTACATGCAAATATACCCCAGTCTTATGGTGCCATGGTATCATCTTTACGCAGGACATTTATAATGTTTAATACCTAATAAAGGCCTCCAAGCTTCTAGTCAAGCAAAGTCAAGCATCATTAAAAACGAAAGCACGGCTGCCCTTTACTCTTAATTGGAACTAAGTGAATCATGTGCAGCAAACGGTAGACTGCTTAGATAATTACATAAAAATTTAGTTATACTCTAGATTAAATAACTGTAAAGATCTCTAAGTATTCTGAACGAACGTAACAAGGTATACTGGAGTTCTAAGGAGTCTACAGGAGAGTTGCAGATTCCGTACCCGAACGCGCTCCGAACGCGCAGCCGCGCGGTATTAGGGATTGGTTTGTGAAATAGTTTGATATTAGAAATGGCATGTTCTCGCAGGGCCCAAATTCTATCTCCAGGTCCTTAAAGTATTGTCGCTAATATCCTAATCACATTGTGGGCTCCTTGATATATCTCGCGTGGCTGTAGCCGAGCTTAGTGTTGTATGGACGCGGGGGAATCCGACTCTCCGGAGATACTAGATTTTGGTGATTCGGGGGTTCGGGGGGTTCGAAGGTTCGGATCCGGCGTCTCGGATCCGAAACTACGCCCTCTGCATCTGCACTGTTCCACATGAATTGCAACTTCAACCTCAGTATATCACTGAGACAGGCCAAGGAATGGCTTAAGGTCAATTACTCAAAGTAGGCACAGGGAGTCTTGATCAAGTAGGTGAAACCATTACTATAATTTTTAAAAAAAAAAAAAAAATAAAATAAAGTGAAGGTCAAGTGACCAGGAGAATATATAGTTTCTACATCCTCGCCTGAAGATCCTTAACTTTTGAACATAGTACTCATACAAACCTATAGCTCTATACAAAACTCAGCAAAGCCCTTCAATAATGTTGTAGTCACCAAATAGTGAGATCTAGTCCTTTGCTAATGTGCACAGTGTCGCTGGCCTGGGAAAGGTTTCCGGGGGGTTGAGCTGTAAAGTTATTAACCCGTTGGCCTTGGCCCGTGCTTGATTGAACCCAACACAAACATATTGCCCAACTAGGAAGGTCTAACCACATTGGGACATATTTCTGATTGTAAAGTTGATCTAAACGTATCCCGTTGCTATGAACATCTAACTAGCGGGAGTTTCCACGGCCTTAGGGCTAGACTAATGCGTCGGGGACTGTGCAACAAAAGATATACCGGCCGCAGGCCGTGAAAGTCCTCGAATTACAGATAGACCGGCTTTTTCCATTTTCCTGTTTTCATTGCTTGTTTTTGTTTCTATTCTTTTATTACAGCTGAAAATAATTGGTTATGATAGATGTCAATCCCGCTCGACCAAATTACCATATGGCATCAAGGTACTGTGGCTTGAACACGTAATGATCTAACATGATTCCCAAAAATAGATATCACAGGAATAGAGATATTTGGCTCCCTACCAATAGACAAAATATCCAAGGCTCGTTCCGTTTACTCAGCATGTCGTTAACCACTAACTTTTAAACCCACGTCAACTAATCGCAGCAAAGTTGTACTTCAAGAATACCCGATACCTGATTAGGGCTCCTGAACACGTTCTTGATTTCCAGTCTCTGGTCCGCAGCCTTCAACATTGCCTTCCATTCCGATAAGGTCCTCTCCTTGCCGCCATACAAACACATCATATCGATATCGTAAAGCACAGCTGCTGTGGAAGGATTTTCCTCCTCCATGATCTGATCGCAGATTAGTATCCGGCTCCGCTGCGGGTTGATTGCTTCCGCGGTGTTCTTCAAGATCTTTATGCAGGCATCGTCAGGCCAATCGTGGAATATATGACGGAAGAGATATGCCGCAGCTCCTAACACCAATGAGGTTAGCGATGTATATCGTGGTGTCTCAGTATCGCGATCATCTGAAGGAGTTATGGGGACATTGAGGGTTGCCATACCTTTCACCGGTTGTGGGCTGAAGAAGTCATAACTCTGCATCTCCAAGTCGGGATGCGTGCTACCATTCTTGGATGCAAACTTGTCTTGAACAATACATTTCAGTCCAAGTCCAGGCCAGTGAGTGAGAATACTCTGTGCGACCTGCCCCATTCCGCCCCCGACATCAACGATTAACCCACCGTCGTCGACAATCTTGTTAAATGGATACAGCTTGGGAACATCACCGAGCTTGTTGACTGTCACTGCCCGCATCGCCTTGGAGAACCGCTGCCCGCATTCAGGGTCATCCTCCTCGACATAGTCCCAATAGTTCTTTTCAGTTGCGAAGGCAAGTTGGAACCCAAGAATATCATCCGCGGTCGGATCCCGATATTGCAACTTCGCCAGTGCCTCGGCGTGCCGGCTTGCAGCTCGGAACCCATCCTCCAGCCTGCTCAGCGTGTTGGGGGTTAGTGTTCATGGTTAACTGCCAAAAAGCTTAAGATGCAGGACAAACCTATGGCTGAGAAGATCCGGCATGTTTGGCGAGCAGATCACCAGGGACGCTGGGGTGTGAGCATAGTACCCGGGTTCTGACTCGGCAAATATACTCTTGTTCACCAGCATCCGCATAATTCGCCCTGCTCATTTGTGTGATAGATTAGCTTCAGGCTCTGTATCCCTACGATACGTGTGTCCTGTACTTACTTAGCAGTGTCTCATCGGTGCCAACGGCCCCGGCTAATTGCTTGACAGCGATTGCTCCCTTTCGGGGAATGTATTCGTGTACTCTGAGATCCACAGCAACTTTCAGGCACGAGCAGAAGTGAAACTAGCGTGCAGAGAGGTAAGTGAGCTCGTCTTATGGCATTATAGTCAGCTGTCCTACCTGTAAGGACGTGGTGAAGAGATACATCTCCGGGTCCATGGTCATTGCGATGACCTTATTGCAGAGCGTGACAATGCTCGACCTTACTGCGACATCATGACAGCTCTGCGCCTTCAGCGATGGCAACTGGGCACGTTCTAGTTCGAGATGCTGAACATAGCTGGCTAGTGCGCTGGTCAGATTGATGCCAGGGTCTTCACGACAGAGACTTTCTCTGCGATCTGATGGTCCCAGTTCTCCAAGTGATCCCATGGTTATGATCAGGGTGCTAGTGCTTGTCACAACAGAGTTAATAGAGCTTGCAGGAGGAGACACAGGTAGACTGTAGAGAGAAGGCTGAGTGAAATATCGCCCAGTGTCTAGTTATGGGCCTCTGGACTATCAACTCTGTCTTGTCACGCAGAAGTATCAAACTGCGTGTCAACAATCATCAGTTCTAAATACCGGTGAGACCATGAATGCCGAAGCAAGGAGCCTGCGTATACGCATTGGGCCTGAATTGCGTAGGCTCTGTATACTGCGCTTACTTTCTTCGGGTGAGATCTGCGAGAATATTTGTCCCCCACATCTGGCCTACAAATGTCCTGCGACATACACCTTGCAGAGATGTGTACAAGAGTCGATGAAGAATGTCCATATTTGCTCGAACCGTCCCGGGAGATGTCTTAATTCATGCGCTTCGAATAGACCTCTCGCGTCGCCTCGTAGTGAATTCCTGATATACATCATCTATGCCCGAGCAGGAAACGTGTCGCTGATAGTGTGGCTCTGCCCCATTCGAATGAGAAAGATCGGTGAGAAATGTTACATCATTATATGGTCACGCAACCGGAATACATACTATGGCATGAAGTAGGAGAAAATGATCCAGCTACAGTTGCTGCCGCACCATTTGCTTGATCGGGTGAGATCGTCCACTCGCCGATGAGTTACATTCACTGTGCTTACTTGCTGGAATTCTATTTCCCTCTGAGCTCACTGACCCTGAAAATGGCGCTACCCAAATCCAATGAAACTGTACTACTCCAAGGGGGATAGGACATACTTCACCACTTGCATAGTCCTATGCTCAAAGAAAGCATTGCAATGTTAGACCGAGGAAGTGACGATTGGTCCGATTGTACTGATGCTACGAACTGCAAGCCCCTGGGAAAGCCAATGAAGATCATCCAGTTAAGTTTGGCACGGATAACATATACGGATATAACCTAGAGAAGGGGCAAGGATACATTGAAAGGGAATGTACGGAGCACTCTGTAGTAGCTGGCTGAATAGTCATATGTGGGGCTCGATCCCGAAGGATTTCTGACCTATCCTCTGCTGGCACCGACTGCTAAAAAATGCTAAAAAGTAGTCTATTAAAGCCAAATAGCTAGAGTTACCCCTTTGGTTACCATTCTCGTAAAACCACAGGATTCCCGATTCGGAGCGAGGAATTCCAACTCAAGGATGATGATAAGAAATTCCATTCCCATTACATGCCTTTTTGACATATGTCAAATGGTCGATCGATCGATTACTAAGTTGTCTCACAAATCTCCATCCCATTTTCTTTGACACCAATCAGCTAAGCCTAAAATTTAGTGAAGAATAGCCACGGGGAAGGGAAGCAATCGTGGGATTGGATATGTCGATCATCAGATCGAACTTTGGAGGACGAAATCTGGCCCAGACATGCATATGCATGATCCATGCTCAACCAATAGTACTAGCAAGAAAAAGCCAATTTTTCTACAAGCCCGAGATCCTCCGCAAGAGACTATTGAAAGCCTCGTCGTCAGTCTTGGCCTGACTGCCTTGAATGTGAGCAGTTTCGACAAGGAAACAAAAAAATAAAATAAAAAAAAAAAAAAAAACTCATCAACTCCGATTGGTATTCAAAGCTTCTAAATTTGGTGCTAGTGAAAGTATAATAAGAATACATCCCATTCTATTAATACTGTATTCGAAATAGGTGTGGCTTTTCATGACTCGTCTGCGGAATTTAGAGTTTACAGGAGGAAAAAAGAAAAAGAAAAACTGATTTTTCTTGAGAATATACATTTGTTGGAACAGAAGTTTACGACACGACCACAAGGTAGAGAAAGATTCCATGAAGAATTGGTCTAGTTACAAACAAACGTGCCAGGTCCAATTTCGATCAGGAAAAGGTAATCGTGCAGAAGCGGGCTTGCCCTACGTAAGAAAAATGAGATCGCTCGACGCAGAGTACAATAACTAAATCAGGCTTGCTAATTACTCCATGCATCGAAATTTAGCTGCGTCAGACCAGGATTGCAAAATCTCTAGTTGATTGCCCTCTTTGAGGGCGAGAAATTGGTTGCTATATTGACCATTAGGTTCGATCGGAATTAGTCCGTACTGTTCCAGTGGACCACCCTCAGTCAGCTATGCACCGAAGCAGGGCAACGAATCACAGTTCAAGCAAGGAATGAGAGAAGGGAAGTTTTCAAATTAAGTTGGGTGTACATGCCTCGTAAGCACCGTCGCTAAAACCGCGCGGTTCCACCCAGATATGGTAATTTTTGTTCTGGAAGTGTAGAGTGACCTGTGGAAACAAGTGAGCAATGAACAATCCCAATGGTTTGTAAGCCAGAACATGCAGGGCCATGGTACCTTCTTTGGTGATCCGAACTTGCCGATTTTCTGGCAGAAGGCAGGAGTTAGTACAGGGTTCTCCAGCGACAGTGGGGGTCTATAGGCAGAGGACTGACCCCATCATCCTCACAAAGCCAGAACTCTGCATCTGCACGCAGTTTAGTTTTCTGCTTGTCGTTGTCGATGATACGGAGATGACCATGCTCGTCTATAGCCAAGGTTTGGCCTGTGAGCGAGGTGTAAATTCCGGAAAGCGTCGGCATGGCGAGTGAAGTAGAGCAGGCGAGGAGGATATTTGGAGCTGTATGATACTTCGAGAGGTCATTCGAAGAGGATATCAGGGCCTTTGTTCCCGTCGGTAGTATATATACGTTCTCCAATAAAGATTCCAAGTGCTGCGGTGTGGACCCTTTCGTGCATTGGTCTGTCACGTAATGAATTATTTCAAGCTCAGGAAAAAGAGGTCAAAAGATCTACACTCCTTGCATCTTACTGGGATAGCGCTCGCATTCCTATATTTGTTGAGACTGAACCTCTTTGCTTACCTTATTGTAACAGTGGTACATATCACATTGATATAGCGGTCAAGCTAGCATTCCTGCGTTTGTCAGTCATTCGAAAGACAGTCTAAACCCGCAATATAAGCGGGTATACCGTCAGAGCAACTATTGTTGTTCAATCTTGGTCGCAACTGCCAGTTACCTCTTTCTCTTCTCTCTACTGTCATTTTCACTGCAACTTCCAGCATGGGCTCCATCGGAAACGTACGATGCCCATTACCAAGATGTGTGCAATCAATGCATGCTCCATCGGTTATGCAGGAGGAGATGATATTATCTACAGTTGCTGATCCTTCTCACGAATCCTATTTTGAAACCTACCATTTCAGCGCCCTCGGGATTTTGAACCCAGACCAGCTCAATGATGCGATTCACGCATTAGCCACGAAGCATGCGGTGCTGCGATCCGTCTTTGTCTATGGAGACCAACTGGGCTCAAAAAATGTGCAGATTGCGGTGCTACACCAGGAAAACGTCCTCCAGCGAGCGAAGCTACTAAGCGTGCAGCCGATAGAAGAGGAGGTTAGATTTGGTATTCTTCAAATGGAAGTCATAGGGGCAGATGAGTGGGATGGCGTTATGCCGTGGAAGTTCTCATTGTCTATCTGCCAGCGAGAACAAAAGTCTTATATCACTTTTCGGTACCATCATGCTCTGCTTGATGGTTGGTCGGCGAGGGCTCTTCTAGAACTGGTCCAGCAGGAGATGCGGATACCGGGGGCTGTGTTGAAGGGGTCCGATTTCTTTTCTCTAGTACAGCAGCCACTGAAGCGCGAATGGCAGCAGGATGAGACGCTACTCCGCGAACGACTGGGCCAGATTGAGACATCGCCCATACTCAGCCCTGGGCCAGTTCCAAATGGCGTTCTAAGGGTGGGGGAGGTGACCCGTGCGGTTTCTATCAGTTCTGGTATCTCTTTACCGGATAGACCAGCTGTTGCCGCACGGCTTCTTCGTCTCGCTCTTGGCATGACGATGTGTGTTTTTAGGAATAGTGATGACGCCTTGTTCCTGGAAATCACTTCCGCCCGAAGCCGACTCTTCCTTTCGGACCAGCATGTGTTGGGACCAGTATTGGCCCCGCAAGTGCGGAATATTCACTTGATGGAACAGACGACGCTCGGAGAATGTGCCCAGCTCTTGCGCTCATCCCACGACCCCCAGCATAACTTCAGTGTTAGCCAGCTGAAGTCTTTTCTATCCGAGAGCAGCAGGGACTTTGACGTCTGCCTCGTCTGCCAAACTAATGAGTCATATCCTTCAAATGGTGTCGGTGACTGGGAGTGGATAAAGGGGGAAGCACAGAACGACCTGCCTTTTATTGTAGAAGTTTTACCCCCCAGAGAGGGAGAATTTTCTGCCAAGATACGATACCATCAGCACCGGTTCGAGGACCAATTTGCATCTTCTTTTCTTGAATTCTTTTGCCAAACCTTAACGTGGATGCAAGCCACCGGTGATAGCATTGACTACCGGACATTTGCCGCAGCTGTATCGGAAATATGTCGTGAGGGGGGCTACAAACAACGTTACCTGGCGTTGAACCCTAGAGACGCCCCCGACGACCCTGTCAGTGCGCACGACCTGATTGAACAAGCCGCTAGCAAGTGGCCCAGCAAGATCGCCTTGGAAGCGGAGCATAGTCAGTTTATGACATACGCGGAGCTTGCGGAGGCGAGTGGTATGGCGGCCAATGGCCTGCGGTATTGCCTTCCCCGTGACCAGGAGAACCAGCCACTTGTCCCCATCTGCTTTGACAAAGGTGTAGATATGGTGGTTGCCATGCTGGCTGTGCTCAAAGCGGGCGGTGCGTACGTGCCATTAGATCCTTCTCAGCCCAGGGATCGCCTTGTGAGTATCTTAACCGCCTGTCGTGCCACTGTGATCATTGCAGACCAGACAGATCTTCAGGATATTCTGCATTCAACATGCAGTGAGCTAGGTATCCTGGTGACATCTATTGAGAGCCTTTCCGAGCATGGCAAGTCCGCCGATGAATCGCCTGGGTCCAAGCACCCACCTTCATCGTCTCTGGCATATGTCCTATTCACATCTGGGTCTACAGGTACTCCAAAAGGGGTCATGGTGGAGCACCGAAATCTCGTTGCATTCATGAAAGCCGGAGAGGGTAATGCGGATGGTACATGGACATCCACCCGATTACAGCTGGCCGCGTACAGTTTTGACGCATCCATCGGAGATATCTTTGCCAACCTCTACCACGGTGGCCGTCTCGCTCTGGTGCAGCGCAACAAGATGCTTTCCAATTTGAATTACTGGCTGGAGGAGATGTTAATTACCCATCTCGCATTAACTCCAACGATTGGTGATCTTATAGTTTCGCATCTACCTCCCCGGTTGCAGACGCTTATGTTCGGTGGTGAGCCTTTCCACCAAAGCCTTCTGGCGCAGGTACCAGCTGAAGCACGAATCTGGAATACCTGTGGTCCTACGGAAACAGTTGTGGATGTTGCCTGCTGTATACTCCAGAAGGACAACACAGATGTACCCATTGGTCGACCCTTCGGCCAGTGCCAAATCTATATATTACGGCGTGGAAGTAGTGATACCGCCGTCCCTCCAAATGCGATCGGAGAAATATGTGTCGCTGGTCCTCAGGTTTCACGCGGCTATCTCGGGCGACCCGATCTGACCAACCTTGGGTTTGTCACGGATCCCTTTCATCCATCGCAAAGGATGTATCGCACTGGCGATTTGGGACGCCTCAATCATCGAGGCATGCTAGAACATCTCGGTCGAGCAGATGGCCAGATTAAGCTGCGCGGATTGCGAGTAGAAACAGGTGAAGTAGAGGTGACAATCAAGCAGTCCTCTTCTCTCGTCGCACGGGTATCTGTCAGTGTGGACCACCTCAAGGGTTACGATCGCAAGGCGCTCACTGCTTGGATAGTTCCAGAAGCCGGTAAAAGTGCGCAAGACATCGAAATTGCGTGGAGAGAAGAGATAATACCTTGTTGCCAACGACGACTGGTACCTTACATGATTCCAGAAGTGTGGATCATGGTTTCACATCTTCCCCTTACAATTAGCGGCAAGTTGAACCGGGGCACTCTATCTTCGTGGGTGGATCTTGTTGCAACAGGTGCTACCCACGAAGGTCTCTATGTAATAGCGGCGCCATGGAAAACACGAGAAATGACAAAGCGGCTGCCAACAAGCCCAGCGGAAAGGCTGATAGTAGCAACCTGCGCGAACGTACTGGGCACAACAATCCATGATGTATCCGTGGATTCTACTTTTATATCACTTGGTGGCAACTCTCTCTTGGCAATGCGTCTTTTGTCCGCATTGCGACAAGAAGGGATGAATTGTTCCTTACGGGACCTGCTTGGCTCCATGACTCTGGGTGATGTAGCAGACGCTATGTCTTTGTCTAGTATTCCCGAAAAGAAGATCACGAAGGCGCTTTATCAGAAAGACAGTTGGGAAGAGATCGTTGCGGATTCCAGAATTGCCGTCGACACGATCGAGGCGATTTATCCATGCACTCCCCAGCAAGAAGGCCTTATCCAGAGTAGCCTTCACGGAGAAAAGTCCGCTTACTTTGCCACTATTACCGTACATCTAGGAAATACCACAAACCTGAGCACATTCGACGCAGCCTGGAAAGGATTGGTATATGGTTGTGACATGTTGAGGACCGCGTTTGTATCATCCTCGGAACTCAGACATCCCCCAGTCAGTGAATCAAACATCCTTCAGGTTGTTCTGAATCAATCCGCAGAGGATGTGGAACGGGTGGTTAGCCTCGATAACAAAGATATCGAGTTCCAATTCGGAGTAGTGCCTCTCTCAGCGGGAATTAGCCGGGGGTCTGGTAATGAGCCTTTGAAGTTACGTCTCAAGATACATCATGTTTTATATGATGAAGCATTCCTCTCTAGAATCCTGGCGGAGCTTTCCATTAAGTACGAAGCACTGGAAATGGGAAGCCCTGAGATAGCCCTGCCCCCCAGCCGCCCGTTCTCCGCTTTTGTGGAGTCCCTTTGCAATGATGACCCAGAGGTATCGAAGGGATTCTGGAAGGACTACATGCACGATGCGGTCCCCGCCACATGGCCCGTCGCAAGGGGAATTCGCAGAACGCGAGAGGAAAATAGCCAAGACGTAGAGATGAGTGTATCCAAATCGTGGACGGGAAATGCTATTGCTTTGGGCCAGAAATTCCAAGCAACCCCTGCATCAATTGTGCGTGCTGCATTGGCCCTAGCACTGGCACAATACTCCCAGGCGGATGACGTGGTGTTTGGGGAAGTGTCCAGTGGCCGGTTTGATCATGATCGTTTCACCCTTGGACCCTGCCTCGCCACGCATCCTGTCCGCATCCAGATTGATCGCAAATCGCCGTCCGCAATGCTTAATCTCGTGACTCAGGCCCTGGAAACATATCTAGTTACAACACCACATCAACAATATGGACTAGCTAATATCCATCGACAGATGGCTGACCCAGAGCTGATGGCCTTCCAGGTTCTATTTGCTCACCAGGAAGCGTTTGTAGAGTATACCGCTGCTGGTCGTTTCCATGTGGAGTCGGCTAGGTTGCAAAATCTTGGATTTCCTCTTATACTGGAATCGAGGTGCGCTAGAACAACAGGTGAACTGGCGCTGGAATGCACCTTTGACCAGCGATACCTCGGGGATCAGGACGTTGGTTGGTTTCTGCGATCTATATGTCGCACACTGGACATGTTCTCAGCCACTGCTCGGGATGGATTCTCAGATCTGAAGCTCACAGCAGAGGTCGTGGATGAGGAGATGAGACGAGCTATCGAGAAATGGTCCACAAAGCGGACTCCATTTCGCTTAACGTCGACGAGAAATGCAAAACTCTGTGCCCATGAGCTTTTCGAAATTCAGGCCGGTATCACCCCGCACAAGATCGCCATTCAAGTGAACCAATCCGAATTCATTACATATAATGAGCTGAATAAGCGATGCAATGAGATGTCCAATGCGCTGGTCAACTGGTTCGACAGCCTGGGGCTTGAGCAATCACGGGATCAACAGATTGTTCCCCTCTGCTTCAGCAATACCATCGACATGGTCATTGCCATGATTGCTGTATTGAAGGCAGGTGCAGCATATCTACCAATAGATCAGAATCACCCACAAGATCGCATCCAGCAAATCCTCTCCCTGTCAGGTGCAAGAGTGATGTTGGCCGATGGTGGAGCTGAAACGTTGGAAAAGCTCCAGGCCGCCAGCAAGCAGGCCAGGTCTGTACTTATTAGTATTAAAAGGCTTATAACTCTGTATGGAGTAGAGATAGTAAGAAAGGCCTCGTTCAGCCCTACCCCGGCATCTCTGGCGTATGTGATCTTCACATCTGGATCGACTGGAAAGCCCAAAGGGGTGATGGTCGAACACGGCAATCTAGCGGCTTTCATGCAAGCAAATGAACCGGAGGCGGTAGGAGCTTGGACATCAGTGAGGCTGCAGCTGGCGACAGCTACTTTTGATGCAGCAACAGGGGAAACCTTTGGCACGTTAGGATGTGGTGGTCGGCTAATCCTCGGGCAGACCCATGAAGTTCTCGCCGCTCTGCCGGACTGGCTGGAAAGAACCAACATAACCCACCTCTTCGTCACGCCTCGCGTGGCGGCAAACTTCTTGACGGATATTGACCCTCCATACCTCCGTACTCTTCATATTGGCGGGGAGGCCTTTGATCCCAGCATCTTACCACGCATGCCCCCAGGGTGTGACGTTTATAACGTGTTTGGTCCAACAGAGACCACGATATATGCAACACACTATAAAATTCGCAAAGGAGATGGACATCGTCGCAACATTCCAATTGGCTATCCCTTTGGGGGATGTCGACTGTACATTCTCAACCCAGAGACCTTAGAACAGGTTCCCGTTGGTGTGATAGGAGAAATTTGCATAGGAGGACCTCAAGTCACAAGAGGCTACCACGGTCGGCCAGACCTGACGTCTCGGTCTTTTCTTAGTGACCCTCAAGTTGTCGGCGAACGCCTGTACCGGAGTGGAGATCTTGGGCGATTTTCTGGAGATGGATCAATAGAACACCATGGCCGAATTGATAGTCAGATCAAGTTGCGTGGTTTACGAATTGAAGTATCTGAGATCGAGTCAGTATGCCTCGAGCATGCACTAGCCACCGCTTGTACGGTAATTGTACTTGATCGATATGAGAATCAGGTCCTCGTTGCCTTTATCCAAAGTGAGAAGGACCAGCAGACAAGCCTTTATTCGCAGGACTGGGCCGAAACAGAGTCTATACTTCATCGCCATCTGGAGAGCCGCTTGCCGAGCTACATGGTCCCCTCTCGTTTGGTTCACATCGAAGCCATGCCCCTAACTACTAGCGGGAAGGTCGACCGGCGACAACTTGCTGCTCGAGCAGAGATGATGGATCAGGCCGGGGAATTATTTTTGAGTCAGCATACAAACCATGCTGAAAGCTGGGAGAAAGGTAGTATTGAAGCAAAAATTGCTGACGCATGGGTGCAGGTTCTTGGGATCGATAGGGCTAACATCACTCCGAATGTTGCGTTTTCTCGTCTTGGGGGTGACTCTATTCGCGCCATTCACCTGCTTTCGTTACTGCGTAAAGCTGGGCTGAAGCTGAATATGACTGACGTAAATAACGCATCCACGATCTGTTCACAGGCAAAATGTGCGACCTCCCACACCGTCGCAGCCAAAAGGAGCGCGGAAGACGCAACAGACATTGATGCGCATACCGGACCGGTACCACTAGGCCCAATTGCTGGAAGATATGCTGGCATCCAGTTGAAGTATGCTTCCCAATGGGGAGAACAGGTCATCGATCATTTTAACCAGTCGGTACTGCTAGACGTGACCGCAGTCTCCCCATTACGGCTTCAGCTCGCCTTACAACGTCTTCGCAATCACCATGATGCTTTGCGCGCAATAGTACATTGGAGCTTAGATCTTCCCGTAGAGGAGTGGTCAATAAGGGTACTTCCTTGCTCGGAAGTTAAGCCTCTAGTCCTGGATAGCCCGCGGACACTTGCAATAGAAGCTCTAAGAGATCAAATTCAGCACCGACTAACTGGACTAGATATCCGACGAGGGAAGGTAATGGATGCCGAACTATATCGTCTGGATGGTGATAGTCGTGTGTTCCTGTTTTGGACCGTTCATCATTTCGTGGTTGACATTGTTTCCTGGCAAATTCTTCGTGATGATCTAAACGTCTTGGTACGGGCAAAGGAGGAACCAGGATCTATCGCTCTGCAGCCTGCCACTATGAGCTTCCTCGCGTGGACGCGGGAAGGCCAGATTCAGAGTCAAAATGGGTCGCTAAGCACAGGTAATACCCCAGAGGGACCTGAAAACTCTCTATCCTCATTTGCCTCTGATCGAGTACCCTTGTGGGTTCGCCAGCCGGAGCTGGTTCCAGTTAACCCAGTAAATCGGACTACAACATTTGCTAGTTTAAATCCAAGCATTACGGTACAGCTTCTTGGCCGTTCGAACAATGTACTTTCCACGGAGCCTCTCGATCTACTACTAGCAGGGCTAGCCATGACGATATCCAAGCACTTCGCAGGCACCGTTGACCACCTTATAGTTGGATTGGAAACACATGGTCGACAAACCGGAACAAACACTGCCGATCTTTCTCGATCAATAGGTTGGTTCACCGCAATTATACCTATGATCCTGGATTGTAGATGTGAGCTATCATCTATCGAGTCAGTGGTGCGTCGGGCCAAAGATCAGCGTCGCCTATTGACGGAAAACGACCAAGGGTTTCGTCATTTCGTAGCTTCTCGTTGGAGTACAGGCAACACATCCAAAAATGAGATAATGCCGCTGATCTTCAACTACCAGGGGGTCAGACCAGACCCTCATGGTCATGATGAAATGATGTTACATCCGGTCCAAGTTCCAGGCTTGCGCTGGATAGAGACTTGTCCACATGCCGTGCCTCTGTCGCATGCCGGATTTGAGCTGTACGTGCATGACGGGCAAGCTTATATTGAGGCTACATGGCCGTCAGATGGTGAGATGGACCAGAAGGATGTCGCTGCACTCCTGGGCCAAGAAATAACAAACATCTGCCAGTATCTCGCTGAAAGAGATCTCTTTGGCAAGACATCAATCAGTGCGTCATCGACGTCAGCGTTCGGATTACTGCCAAACGACTGCTTCGATCGTGTGTTTCACCTTTACCGAGAAGATACACTGGAGGATATAATCCCGTGTACCCCAATGCAACGGGCCCTTCTTTACGAAGGCATTGCTGACCATGAATCACGATCGTATGTTACCAGCCGTGTCTGGCGCATACCCACAGATCAAGCAATATGCTCCCAGATCGAGGACGCCATCAAAAGTCTGATACAGCGACATGGGGTATTGCGGACTGTTTTCCATATCGACCCTGAGGTAGGGCCACTGGCCCTGGTTTTGCGTGACACGCAAAGCCCGGCCGTTAGCGCGGTCGGTCAAGTGGAGGTCAGAAATCATACGGAGTTGGAGGAAATGGTCACAAATATGTTATACAACCCTGAGTTTGGAAATCCAATGAAGCAAGCGTTCTACGTTCGAGTAGTGCGCGCCACTGATGGTTCCGCGGCAAAACTAATCTGGTTACTACACCACAGCCTTATTGACGCCTGGAGCCAAGATCTTCTTTTCAGCGAGCTGACCCAGATTCTTGTGAATGGTTGTCCAAGCGAATCTTTGACGCCGCGGCCTTCGTTTGGCTCATTTGCCCGTTATGTGGCTTCAAATAGTCTTACAGACCATAGCCACAGGAAGTTCTGGTCGGAGACCTTGAATGGAGTACAACCTATATCTCTCCCCCTCTCCTTGATGTCCTCAAGGCCTATGGATTCCAATGCCGTGGTTGTTGAGCAGGCCTGTAACCTAGCCAACTTATCTGAAAATTGTATATCGCCTGCAGCACTGGTGTCACTGGCGTGGAGCCTTGTCCTCTCGGAGATCCTTGACACCGACGATGTTACTCACGGAATGCTATTCTCAGGGCGACAGCTTCCACTTGATGGTGTGGTAGATATAATCGGCCCCTGTATCAGTACCGTCCCCATTCGTAACCATATAAGCCGACACGGTAGGGTCCTGGATCTTCTGCAATCGACGGAGGCTGCAATTCGCTTGGCTGGCTTACACAGTATGATTGGCGTCGACGGCGTGGCTCGAGCAACTGGAATTGAGGCCCCGGCCTTAGTGAATACGCTTCTTAATTTCTTTGGTGTTCGAACAGACGTGCTCGAGCATGATAGCTTAAATTCAATACTTCAACTAGACAGTGTTGACGATGGACTGCCACCCTCCATTACGCTGTCGTGCTGGCAGCGGGAGATAGAGGCTAATGTTATAGTGGTGCGTCTAGAGCGTCGACATCCTTTGCAGACAGGAATTGCACAGTGCCTGATGGAGCGCATGGCCTGGTACTGCCATGCATTGTCATACCAGACGGATAGGAAACTAGACAGTGTTTCATCGATCACTTCCAATGAAGACCAACTACTCACCCAATGGAGCCAGCCCATCGATTCGCGGCCATCTGACCCGTATCCTTGCATCCACGATCTCATTACGAGATGGGCAGCAGAGGTGCCAGAAAAGGTGGCGATTCAGGTCGCGGAATCCCAGTTCGTGACATACGGCGAGATAGAAACGAAGTCCACAGCTATTGCTAGAGTGATACAACGGCTTATTGATCAGCGGTCTGCATCTACTCCGCCACTGATCCCAATCTGCTGCGACCGGGGTGTCGACATGGTGATCGCGATTCTTGCCGTACTGAAGGCTGGAGCGGCATATGTACCGCTGAATATTTCTGATCCAGAGGGCAGGCTAGAAGCTATTTTGCGTCAAGCTGGGTCTACAATAATCATCGACGGTTTACTTGGCAAGGATAGTCGTCGCAAACTTCATGCGCTTGGTGACCGCACGTCGACCTCGGTATACACCGTCGATGGCCTCTCTAAAATGCCTGCCTTCGAGGGTGCCCTTCGTGAAGTTCACTCTGGGTCGCTCGCGTACGTTCTGTTCACCTCCGGGTCAACAGGGGAGCCCAAGGGGGTGATGATTGAGCACCGCAATGTTACATCATTCATAAGCACACAGCACAATGAGATCATTGGCAGGTGGACCAGTTGTCGTATGCCAGTGGCCGCATATACATTTGATGTGTCGATGGCGGACGTTTTGATAAGTCTGTCTATCGGTGCTCGCATAGCTTTTGTGGAGAGCGAGAAGATGTTTGCCTCCCTACCATTCTGGGCAGACCAGATGCTAGCCACTACTTTGTCCATGACCCCAACACTGGCCACTCTTCTCACCAGAAGGCTTCCACCACTTGTAGCGGTGCTGATACTAGCAGGAGAGGTTTTCGATCCAAATGTCATGAAAACACTCCCCCCTGAATGTCGTGTTTGGAATGGATACGGCCCTACAGAAACTTTCTATGCATCTTTTCACCCTGTGGATGCAAAGGAAACGCACGCCCAGGTGCCCATAGGAAGGCCGTTTGGTGGTAATCAAATCTATATTCTTCGACCAGGCAGTAACGACCGTCAGCCCGTAGGAGCAATTGGCGAGATCTGCATCGGCGGGACTCAGGTTGCCCGGGGATATCTTGGACAAGACGATTTAACAAATCTATCATTCACACAAAGTCCATACAACGGCGAGACGGTGCTATACAGAACAGGCGACTTAGGGCGATTCATGGATGGAGGTGTGATGGAATACTTGGGGCGGATGGACGACCAAATTAAAATCAGGGGTCAGCGAGCCGAGCCTGCAGAGATTGAGTCAGTGGTCCATGCTGCCTCACGTCACGTAGCCCATGCCATTGTTGACCTTTATCACCCGAAGCGGGAAGGTGGGCTATCGCGCCTGATTGCGTTCATCTCAACAAAGGATACAGTGCCTCCTGGCATTTGCAAAACGTTCCTCCAAGAAGAGCTTGAGCCCTCTTGTCGAAATCAGCTTCCAGCTCATATGATCCCATCCACATGGGTTTATGTGCGCACAGTTCCCCTGACAACCAGTGGTAAAGCGGACAAGAGGAAATTACGTTCGTGGATGTCGAGGTTGGAGGAAGGCGAAACAGTGCCTGGGGCATCTATCATACAGTTGTATCCGTCTAAGCAAATGAACTCAGAGGCACATAAGGGTATTTCCCGAGGCCCTGAAAGCCCTACTGAGATCATGGTGAAAGAGTCATGTGCGCAACTATTAAAGGTTGATGAAGACACGGTATCGTTGGAAATGTCATTCATATCGTCCGGAGGCGATTCCCTGTTGGCATTGCAGTTGAATGCTAGGCTCAGGGAGAAGGGATTCAAATGTACCCCTCGGGACATTGTAGAGGCTCAGAGTCTTGCTGATCTAGCGAAGATACTAAACACATCGAACGAGGCAGTCTCCCAGGTGCCCATCGCAGACTGGACATTAGATCTTGACGAGATGGTACGTGTCCCGGACACCGACATTGAGGGCTGGGAGAGGATAGTGAAAAGTGCCGGCATCGACCCTGACCAGGTGTGTTGTGTTATGCCGTGTACACCATTTCAGGAAGGTGTGCTTTCCAGCAGCGATGAAAGTGGAGCCTCTGCTGGATACTTGGCACACATGACGGTCGGCTTGGGCAAGGAAATTGATGTAGAAGCTCTCAAATATGCTTGGCAGGAAACAGTCGATCACGAGGAGATGTTGCGCACCACGTTCATCCCTGCTGCTATGACTGAAGTACCAGGGCCTGGACAGGACAGCTCACTCCTTCAAGTGGTTCTTTGTCCTGAATCGCCGCAAGCAGGTCGCGTTAAGACAATGGAGACGGTCAGCACACTTGAGACTCCTAAAGCTACGCTTCCATCATACCCATCTCTAGAGGGAAAGCCTCAGCAGGGCCATATTCCAGTCGCTGCCGCCGTTGCCATCGGGAGCCAGGGAAGCGAAGGGCAGGAATGCACGCTACTCTTAACAATGCATCATGCATTGTACGACGAGGCTTATCTTTCATTATTATTGAAGGATTTATCCAGTAGATACCGATCAATCGCATGCAATCGGGTAGTTCCTAAAGTGCCAGAGGAACAGCGCATTCCGTTCTCTACCTATGTGCGTTTCGTGCACTCTAAGATAGGTACAGCGCCATCCTCATCTGCTGCTGGAATATTCTGGAAAGGCTATTTGGAGGATGCTATTCCCAGTACATGGCCTCTTCCGCACGGGATGCAAAGCTCCATCACTTCAGTGAAGAGACCGGAGACGGCAGTACTCGAATGGACAGGCAACCTTCGAGCTGCAGCTTCCAAAATCCAAGTTACTGCTGCCGCCATCGTCCGTGCAGCATTAGCACTAACTGTCGGTGAACACGCTAATGTTACTGATGTGGTACTCGGTGAGGTTTCCAAGGGCAGACCTGATATTCGCAGCCACGGCGACGCGACAGCGAAGTTCATTACAGGGCCATGTGCAACCACTCATCCAGTTCGAATTCGATTAGCCGATGAAGGGGGTTCCAAGAGGCGTACGACGCTGCAGCTCTTGCGCGAGTCTTTCACATCTTATATGGAAACGCTCCCCCACCAGTTCTATGGGCTTTCACGGATTAGAGAGCAATCTTGCCGCGTAGATCTACTTCCGTTCCAAGTTCTATTTGTCTACCAGGATGCCTTTCGCCAGAAGGAAGGACTCGCTGGAGATGACGCCTTCCAAATATGGGGGGGTAATTTGGGGCAAATGGGCTTCCCCATTGTTGTTGAATGTTCGTGTCTCTCTGGGGATTCAGGGGTTCTGTTCCACTGCACCTATGCGCCAGACGTGATCGACAAGCATAGCATTGAATGGTTCCTACATCATGTTTCTCAATCCATTGATGCGCTCGTACAAGTGGACCCGACTAGGAGTGACAGTTTGAGGTTGGCACGAGTCCCTCTCAGCGCCCAGGAGACTAGACAACTAGAGATATGGAGCCGCTGTCATAGAGCAAAGGAAGGCGAAAATGTTTATAATGCTATTCCCACGGAGATATCATCCATCACGCACGCCTTCGATTATATTGCGGTGAATATGCACGAGAAAGTTGCTTTGCAATCTGCGCAACATGAATATGTTACTTACGGTGAACTGCAACAGCGAAGCACAACCCTGTCCATGGTGCTCCAAAGACATATAGTCTCATTGGATGATGTCGGTTCACAACAGCCTATTATTCCGATCTGCTTCGAGCGCAGCACAGACATGGTTGTCGCAATTCTGGCAATCCTTAAAGCAGGTGCTGCATTTGTACCTCTTGAGCCCGGCTACCCAGCAGAGAGACTTATAAGTATAGTGAGGGCAACCCGTGTTTCGTTCATTATTTGTGGGGAGGAGAACAAAAGCAATGAGGCCCTGGTTTCGGTGTGCCAAGCAACGAACACCAGCCTCGTTACCCTTGATGATCTCAAATCCAGACCCGCCTCCTCAGCGCACGCATTTATCTCACGGCAATGTAGGAACGAGTCCCGGATTGCCTATGTGTTGTTTACCTCGGGATCGACGGGAACTCCTAAAGGGGTGGTGATCACCCATCTCAATCTACTTGCCTTCATGCGATATAACAACACGGATGTCCATGGACGATGGTATAACTCTCGGATGCCTGTGGCCTCTTATACGTTCGATGTTTCCATGGCAGACATTATTACGACCCTTTGTTGCGGTGGTAGAGTAGTTCTCGTTCCAGTACAAAAGCTACTCCCATCTCTAGGCGCCTGGGTCGAAGCTTCGATCACATCTCATATCTCTCTAACTCCGACAATTGCTAATATGCTCTGGGAGCCTGTCAAGAGCGCTGAAATAGTATTTCCGTTCCTCAGCGTTCTATTGTTGGCTGGTGAGGTGTTCGATGTACAGCTTATGAACTATGTGCCAGAAGAGTGCCGAGTCTGGAATGGATATGGCCCAACTGAAACGTTCTATGTGACGTTTTATCGTGTTCCGAAAGCACATGCTAAGGAGCAAACCTCAGTATCAATTGGATATGCCTTTGGAGAAAATGTAATTCACCTCCTAGGCTTCGAATCTTACGACCGTGTACCAATTGGATGTATCGGCGAGATCTGCGTGACGGGACCACAAGTCGCACAGGGATATCTTGGCCAGCCAGAGCTGACAGAGCAACATTTTCAACACGATGTTCTAAGTCAGGCATCAGATGGCCTCCTGTACCGAACAGGCGACATGGGAAGGTTCCATTCCGACGGAAAACTAGAATACCTAGGTCGGTTCGATCGTCAAATCAAGATACGTGGTCAACGTGTGGAGCTTGCAGAGATTGAGATGGTGATTGCACAGCATAATTTGGTTGACAGTTGTTCGGTCGTGGTGGTGAACACTCCTAGCAGAGATATCCTGGTTGGATTCTGTGTGAAGGCTTCGAACAAAACCCCCGGCAAGGGGTGGGACGCCAATACTGCCATTCAAATAAAAGCATGGGTTGCTACTAGGCTTCCAGCTCACATGGTGCCCTCGTATCTGTTCCAGTTGGAAGGGGAGCTCCCTTGCGTCCCCAGTGGAAAGGTAGATCGCCAACTGTTAGCTCAGAGAGCCACACAGCTATTGACAGACTCTATGATGTCCAGTCAGGGTCAGGACACCTACATCGCACCCACGACCGAGAAAGAGAAGGTGATCTGTGAGATCTTTGAGGAAACACTGGCCCAACGTGTAAGTGTACTGGACAATTTTCTCCACCTTGGTGGCCATTCCATCCTCGCAATTCGAGCGGTATCCAAGATTAACCATCGCCTCCATGCCAACCTTACCTTCAAAGATGTGTTTGACTTTGCTACCGCTCGGGATTTGGCGCGACAACTCGAGTCGACAACTACCAAACAGAGAAACTACACTTCAATTTCCAGACTTCCCCGGGACCAAACGATGGTCAGGCAGTCATTTGCTCAGGGCCGACTCTGGTTTTTGGATCAGTTGCACCCTGGGTCGACTTGGTATCTGATGCCCTTTGGTCTACGTATCCAGGGAGACCTCCATCTCCATGCGTTGGAAGCGGCTGTGTCCGCAATTGAGGAGAGGCATGAAACATTGCGGACGACCTTCGAACATCGTGACGGGCAAAACGTCCAAGTCATCCATCCTTTCGCACATCGTCAGCTAAGGGTTGTTGAGGTCCCGTCTGCAGTGGGCGAAGAGGGTCTGCTTAGCGTCCTGAAAGCAGAGCAATCCACCCCGTTTGATCTCCAAGTACATCCAGGCTGGAGACCACTGGTTCTTCGCCAGAATAAGAGGTCACATATTCTCTCGATTGTTATCCATCACATTATTTGTGATGGTTGGTCTGTCGGAGTACTCCTGAAAGAACTGAGTATATTCTATTCCGCGGCGCTCCACGGCAGCCCCATCCCTGCTCAGCTGCCACCGCTACCCATACAATACCGCGACTTCTCAGCCTGGGAGAGCCAAAAGGGCCAAAAGGTAGAGCATGATCGCCAGCTAAAGTATTGGGTGAAAAAGCTCGCTGGAAGTAAGCCGGCTGAGTTCATTTGTGATAAGCGAAGGCCTCAAACACCATCTAGGCAAGCAATCTTCGAAGAAGTTCGCATCGATGGTGTGGTGTATGACCAATTACGCGAATACTGTAAGCAACATCAGCTAACACCCTTCATTGTTCTACTGGCTGTCTTCAGAGCCACCCATTACCGCCTTACAAGGGAAGCCGATGCAACTATCGGCACCCCAATTGCCAACCGAGGGCGGGAAGAACTCCACAACATAATTGGACTCTTCGTCAACGTGCAGTGCATCCGGCTCAAGGTCGATGATCATCATACCACGTTTGAAGATCTTGTCAACCAGGCGAAGTCAACGGCTACCGAGGCTTTTGCCCACCAGGATATTCCTTTCGATCGGATCGTGTCTGCTCTGCAACCCGACAGAGAAACAACTCAGAACCCCTTAGTTCAGACAGTGTTTGCCGTTCACCCGCAAACACAAGGGAAGGAGGATCTGGAGGGACTCGTAACAGAACAGATCCTTCTGTCACGTACTACTCGATTTGATCTCGAATTTCACCTTTTCCAGGAAGAGGATGGTTTAAGCGGTCAAGTTGTGTTTGCTGAGGATATATTCTTCCCTGAAACTGTTAAAGCGATGATTTCTGTGTTTTACACGGTCCTTGAATGTGGCTTAAACCAACCAAGCACAAGCATTGCTTCGATGGCCTTACTGAATGACACCTCTCTGCATGACATGGACGATCTGCTGAGGATAAAGCGGATGAGCTATCCACGAGATGCGACTGTAGTCGATCTATTTCGCCAGGAAGCACGATCCCACCCGGACAGCATCGCTATCGTGTGTGAAGGAAAGGAGGTCACATATGGCGATCTCGACCGACAGTCGGATAATATCGAACGGTGGCTACGTAGCCTCCATCTTAAGCAAGAGACGATCGTCGGGGTGCTTGCAGCGCGATCCGCTCAGGCAATCGCCGTCTTTCTCGGAATAATGAAGGCAGATCTTGCGTACCTACCACTAGATGCTTCCACTCCACAGACTCGGATTTGCAGTGTCCTGTCGTGTATAAGTGGAAGAATAACTGTTATTGTGGTGGATGGAGCTCATGTTGCTGTTCCAGATGTCAGTTTGGCTCACGTTGATTTTGTTGCTCTCTCCAGTATTCTGGATAGTCAAACATATAAAGGATCAGGCAATCAGGATTTTGAAAGAGAATCTTCAATATCCGCTACAAGTCTAGCATGTGTCCTCTTTACTTCTGGATCGACGGGGAGGCCCAAGGGAGTCATGACCGAGCACCGGGCAATTGTACAACTGGTTAAAGACTTCAACTTTGCCGAAGCCGCAGGAAAGCCTCTAGCTCATATGGCTAGTCTATCCTTTGATGTGTCTACCTGGGAAATCTTTATGCCTCTCCTAAGTGGTGGCGTGGTAGTTTGTGTTGATGCGATGACGGTCCTAGACTATAAGGCCCTGAGCGATGTGTATGCCCGCCACCAGGTGCGAGCTGCCATGTTCACCCCTGCATTATTCAAACAGTGTTTGCATGATACCCCTTCCATTGTCAGGAACCTGGATCTATTGATTCTAGGCGGAGATCGTCTGGATCCTGAGGATGTCTTTCAGGCAAAGAAACTGACGCGAGGAGTCATCTTGAACGGATACGGACCCACCGAGAACACAGGTGCAAGTACTATTTACCCAATTCTAGATGAGGAGGCATTCGTAAATGGCGTGCCTATTGGGAGACCAATAGGTAACTCTGGAGCATATGTTATGGATGATTTACTCAATGTCGTCCCCAGCGGTGTAGTTGGGGAGCTTGTTGTCACTGGGGATGGGTTAGCAAGAGGATATACCGACCCCGAGAAGAATGAAGGTCGCTTTGTACACGTGGTCATTGGTCAGGATACAGTCCGGGCATATCGGACCGGGGACTATGCTCGATGGAGACCGATTGATGGGCAGTTGGAGTACTTTGGCCGTCGAGACGACCAGGTCAAAATCCGCGGCCATCGGGTGGAAATGGGCGAGATTGAACACACCCTCCTCTCCCATCGCGCAGTACGCAGCGCTGCTGTCGTTATGAACGGTGTGGGAGCAGAGGCTGACCTATCAGCCTTTATAACATTGCATCCGATTCAGGACGATATGGCGGAGACTGAACGAGTGGATGCATGGAAGAATGTATTTGATACGGAGGCGTATGACAGCTTCACACATCAACCCAATAAACTGGGACGAGATTTTGTTGGATGGCTCTCTATGTACGATGGATGCAATATTGACCTTACAGACATGGATGAGTGGCTAGATGACACCCTTCAAGCACTGTTAAACGGGCAAGACCCCGGAAAGGTGTTGGAGATAGGCACTGGTTCTGGAATGATCCTCTTCAACATCACCCAAGGGCTGGAAGAGTACGTTGGCATTGAGCTGGTACCAAAGCTCGCTCATATGGTGGAGCAAGTGGCCAACGTCGACGAAAGATTGGCAGGGAGAGTGAAGGTCCATGCAGGGGTGGCTGACCGTATCGAGGATTTCATCCATGGGTTCATCCCCGACCTGGTCATTATCAATTCCGTCGCGCAATACTTTCCAAGCGCAGGCTATCTCTCTGAGATTATTCTGAAGCTTATTCGGTTGCAGGGTGTGAAGACATTATTCTTTGGTGATATCCGGTCCTACCCTCTGTATGACGAGTTCCTAGTCTCGAAGGCCTTGCACAACGCCGGCGCGAAAGCCACACAGGATCAAATCCGGAAATGCATAGAAGAATCCAAAGCAGCAGAGACGGAGTTGCTTGTGGATCCTGGACTCTTCACCTCCTTGACGAGTCAATTCCCAGATCGGGTAGATCACGTTGAGATTCTCCCCAAGCTGATGAGTGCCAAAAACGAACTCAGCTGCTACCGCTTCTCTGCCGTCATTCACCTTAAACATGCTACAGTAGCGCCGCGAATCACCCACCAGGTCGAAAAGAGCAACTGGATCGATTATACGGCGCGGTCTCTCAATTCCCGAAGTTTGTTGGAGCACCTGAGAAGTTCGCGCGACAACACCATAATAGCAGTGGAAAATATACCAAATCGCAGGACGATCCTCGAAAGGTATATAGTGGACGCCCTCAGAGAAAAGGTCCCTTCTCGCTCTTTGGACACTAGCAGTCACTGGCAGGTTTGTCACCGTAACCGAGCAGCACAAAGCGCGGCCTTGCTGCCGGGAGATCTGGTTGCCATAGCGAACCAGGCAGGATTCCAGGTAGACATTAGCTGGGCTCGGCAAAGCTCACAGCGCGGGGCATTTGATGCAATCTTCCACCGACTGGGGTCAAACTGTGGACAGCAGCGGGTGCTGTTCAACTTCCCTGTCGATCATCAGTGTCGGGACGTACACTCCTTCACAAACCATCCAGTTCAAGGCCAACAAGATCAACAATGCATATATGAGCTCAAAGAGTCATTGCGTGCGCATCTTCCAGCCTACATGATTCCACGCACGATTACAATTCTCGATCAGCTGCCACTGACGGATCGCGGCAAGGTCGACCGCCAGACCCTTCGCCAGAGAATCATAGAACAAGAACCAGTAGCTACTGAATCCGAGTCGAGTGCAAACAGGGCAACGGTAGAGTATGAAAGTGAAATGGAGCGAATCATTTCCCATGTTTTTGCTGAGGTATTGGGCTTGCAATCGGTTGATAGAGAAAGCAGCTTCTTTAGCCTGGGGGGTCATTCTCTTTTGGCTCCCCGCCTGGCGTCTCGTCTATCAAAACGCCTGGATTGTATTGCAACTGTTAGAGATCTCTTCGACTGCCCAACGCCTACGAGATTGGCCGACCGGTTACTATCAAAACAAACCCATAGTGATAGAGAAGCCGACGCCGCTATCGACGATGAGACACAACATTTTGCATTGGACAAGGTGAAGTATCATGATGCTCTTCGCGATTGGGGTGTTCAGTCAAGTGAAATAAGCCACTTGATGCCTTGCACTCCGTTTCAAGAGGGAGTTTTGTCTAACTCTCTAACTGTACCAGGAGACTCCGGCTATCTGAGTGTCGTAAGGTTAGGACTACAGATGCAACTTGACGTAGAAGCAATACGGCTCGCATGGCAGAAAGTGGTTGAGCGCGAAGAGACACTCCGCACTGCTTTCATACCAGTTGCTGAGGATCTCTCTTCGTCATGCATTACCTCCAGCACGTTTTGGCAATGCACCTTCAAAGTTAGCTCCCGCGAGGTTCACCGGCTTTTGTATATTGACAGGCGAAATTGCGACGTCGACCGCTCTGCTTTAGGTTTTGGCCATATCCCAGTATCGTTGGCATTGATAGATGTACCGACCGTGTGCAAGGCAAGGGAGAGGGGCTCAACTCAACTTGAACTCACCATACATCACGCTCTATATGACGAAGCATACTTCCGATGGATTATTCATGAACTCTCCCGAGAGTATCATAAAGCTCGGCTCGCGAAAGACTACGTACCCGAGTGGGCTCCTGACACATCGGCGAACAGGATCCCTTTTAGCATATTTGTTTCTCAGCTGCAAGCAATGCCAAAAGAGAGTGCAACCTCATTTTGGAAAGGGTATCTGAACGGGGCCCCTGCCGCATGCTGGCCGGTTGCGAGAGGATTGGAGAGTGGTCGAATAACAGAAATAGACGAGTTCTCGAGCCGGTCCTTGACATGGAAGAGAAACATGCATGCTTTAGCTGGAGCAAGAGGAGTCACCCCTGCCGCGATCTCTAGGGCTGCAGTGGCTCTTGTCGTGGCAGAGCATAGTGGTGTTGAAGACATCGTTCTTGGAGAGGTGTCTAGTGGACGATCTATCACTGATGGCGCTACTGGGTTCGTAGCCGGACCTTGCATCTCAACACACCCCATCAGGATACGTATACAACAAAGGCAAGGGTCAAGAAGCAGTCACCAGAGATTGTCGTTTGACCAGTTGGTCAAACACTCGCTGGATTCTTACTTGGAGACAGTACCCTACCACCAGCTGGGTTTACCCAGTATCCGACGGGAGTCAGATGCTCCAGATCTTCTGCCGTTTCAGGTGCTGTTTGTTTATCAGCAGGCGTTTGGTTTTGAAACGGACTCTCGGGAAGAAGCTTCAGATAATTTCAAGGCCCAAGGGGGGCATCTTGGTCGGTTTGAATTTCCTGTCGTGCTACAAGCATCATGCCATCCAGTCACAGGCCACCTAAGCCTCCAGTGCATATTTGATCCGACAGTTCTAATTCCAGAGGACATTGAGTGGTTCCTCGAACACATATCACAGGTTCTGAGTTCCATTGCTGACAGTCCCTCTCAGCCCAATGCCAGGTTAACTGTTAGTGAGGCTGAAGAGGCAGCGCTAATAAAGTTCGCGTCCGAGAGCGACCAAACCCCAGATCTACCGCTGGGTACTACTAGCGAATCTCTGTGCGCTCATGATCTGATATCGCGACAAGCCATGGAGAACCCTTGCAAGATAGCTGTGCAGTATGAACTTTCCCAGTTCATGACATACGGGGAGCTCGACAGGGAGAGCACCAAGCTATCTATTGTGATCCGCGCATTTTTCAATCATCTTTCGAAGTCAGAGTGTCCTGAACAACCCCTAGTTCCAATTTCCTTCGACAAGGGGCTTGACATGGTAGTGACTATGTTGGCTGTTCTAAAAGCTGGGGCTGCTTATATTCCACTTGATGTTTCCCATTCAGAGCAACGTTTAACAATGATCTGTCAATCCACGCAGGCCAAGCTTATCCTTTGGGATGGCCAGAAAGGATTTGACAAGCTGCATGCCATTGGGCACTCTTCAGGCGCCACCGTCTCAACCCTGAACGAGCTTTTCGACGCAGCGGACGGTTGGGGAAGCACTTCCCGATCCGGGAAAAAGCCCACTCCATCCTCCCTAGCTTATATTATTTACACTTCTGGCTCCACGGGCGTGCCTAAAGGCGTGATGGTCAATCACGCAAATTTGGTATCTTTTATGAGATCCGCAACAAGTGAGACATACATGTCCTGGACCGTGAACAGACTTCAGATCGCTGCATTTACATTCGATATGTCTGTCAGCGATATCTTCCCCGTACTAGCCGTAGGGGGGCGCGTCTTACTCGCACGACAACAGTCCCTCTGGAGTGATCTTGCTGGATGGGTGGATACCTTTGCGGTAAATCAACTTATGACAACCCCCACGGTGGCAGATATGATGCTTTCCAGCGCATGGTCCGACGGATTCCGGTTAGCGCACTTGCGTGATGTGATATTAGCAGGTGAGGCGGTAAAGAGCGACATTCTGGAAAAAGCACCAGCAGAAACGGTTTTCTATATACAGTACGGTCCAACTGAAACGACCGTTGTTGTGACTGGATGTATGCTTCGAGGGCCCCCATATCATCAACCTGTTCCACATTCCCAGATTACCATGATCGGATTTCCTCTTCATGGCTGTCGCGTCTACATCCTACAGCCAGGTACATCCAACCGAGTTCCAATTGGAGTACCTGGTGAATTATGCATCAGTGGACCACAGGTGACTGTGGGATACCGGGGTGGCGGCGATTCTTCCGAAAGCCCATTTGTCCCAGACCCCTTCTGGGCCGGGCAAACAATGTATAGGTCTCACGATATTGCCAAGGTCCACGGGGATGGGATGATTGAGTGGATTGGGCGGATGGATTCGCAGGTCAAACTGCGAGGCCTGCGTATTGACTTGGGCGAGATTGAGTCCGCAGCCAGGCAGCTCAACGGTGTCCAGTCGTGTGCCGTCGTCAAAATGGAGCTGGAAAACAAGGAAACATTGATTGCATTTATCGAGGTGTCAAACTCTCACCAAACACACATTACCCCTGTCACCATCCAGCAACATATTGCACAAAACGTCCCGGCCTACATGGTCCCTGCGCACGTTCAACTGCTCGACACACCGCTTCCTCGTACAGCCTCTGATAAGCTGGATCGGAAGGGAGTCCATGTCCTAGCGCAACAGCTTGTGGATAAAGGAGATCTACTGTCCTTCGGCATCAGCCGGATACAGCCAGCTGATCTTCGCCCATCCCCAGGTACTCTAGAAGCAACGCTCGCCTCGTATTGGGCTACTATTTTGGCAGTCGACCAGTTGGCCATTAGTCTGGAGACACCTTTCTCTCACTTAGGGGGGGATTCCGTGCGCGCCATCAGCCTACTCGCGCTACTACGGCGTAACAACTTCCGGCTCAATTTGACAGACTTGGGCTCCTTTTCGACCATTCGATCGCAGGCATCCAGAATCCTGTGTGACGTGCAACCGCAAAAGCTCCCTGCTTACATGCAGTTGACCACACGCAGCAGCAGTCGGGCGATGATGGTTTTGATCCATCCCTTTTTTGGTCAGTCCAGCGTGTTTGACCATGTAGTGCCGGCTCTAAGCAAGCAGTATGATATCGTGCAAGTTTCTGATCCTTTCTTTGGAAAACCTGATGGCCCCGCATCTCTGCGCGACTGGGCCGCACATTACTTGGAAGCGCTTCACACCCACTTCAAACAGGACCGACCCGTCGTTTTGCTTGGGTATTCTTTTGGCGGCCTGTTGGTCTTGGAAATGGCTCGATTGCTGGAAATTACTGGAAAAGGATCACCCTTCTCTACAATCATAGTTGACACGCGTTGCTATAATCCAGACCAGCCATTTTTCAAGGACGAGGAAGAGAGACAGACAGCTGCTGACGATGCCGCTCGCCTCTTTGGCTCCGGCCAAACAAGAATGATTGAGGAACACTTTGATAAGCATGCCCATATATGGGAGAATTCTGCATGCCCGGACCACTACCTCGGCCGTTCACTCTACCTAGCCACTCCGGAAGCCGTGGAGTCAGGTATTGTAGATTGGTGGCAGAGTCAGTGTCCACATATTGAGGTTCAGCGAGTGGAATGCTCGCACGGAGAGATCTTTGAACCTGCGATGACTGGTCGCGTAAGTGCATTGATAAATGAGCATTGCGACCTAGATTTCACGCGCATTGAGCCTTAGGCAGGAGGTGCGCCTCATACGAGGATATCTAAATTGGCTGGAGTTTGGTAACTGTCTGGTTTTATTGATGTTAAGCGAGTATGAAGATATGCTATGATAATAATTCGCAGCTGTGATTGAGCCAAGGCAACATATTGTGTTATGCCGGGAGGTTGAGCAGTATTACAAGGCAGAAACGTTTATCTTCTGAAACAGCTCTCAGTATAATAATATAATCGGTTATTGCTCTCGTTTCCACATATTAGCGACAGCAAAAGTAAAAGCTAGATGACCTTTTGATATCATCGGGAGCGAGAGATTTATATATGAGAATTGGGTATTAATTTTTGTGTGTTGAGATGTCGCTCCATTTTGCCACCCTTGACAGCCTGAAATTTTGCGCAATCACGTGATATCAGTTGTGCTCGGAGCTACTATCTCTCCGACATCCGCGGAAATCACACTCGTGACCACAATGACTGATCACGCAGGTCTCGGATCTCTTCTTCCACTACTCTGTGAAGTTAAGAATCCCACTCCAAGCCCTATAGATCCTGTAATCGATGGTTATGATATGATAAACGTGATCTATGAAATACCTTTTAGGTATTATTACAGTTGAAAAGGATATTCAGATTGTACCAGTCGTTCGTAAATCTTTATGTGATTTTGCCTAGCCAGTCGATGTAGATATATATTTATATAGTGGAGTGGACCTTGCACACAAATACCTACAAACCAATTTGATTTACGCTTTATTACCGTTGATCTTCCACTGACCATCAAGAATATGTCTACTTAGATCACCGAGATAACTATCATTAGACCTATATGGTAAGTTTCTGTATGTTTACGCCTGTGTCCGGTTCGGGTTCGGTACGCGTTTGAGGTTCCGTCCTGGCGCCAAGCTTATTATCTGTAGTTCCCATTGGGTGTTCCCGGCCTCCGCCTATCCTCCCTAAGCTCTCGCCGCCAAGATCGTTGCATAAGATGCAACGTCTTTTACACGAAGTCCCGGAATAAATGCGATCAATGCAGATTGCGGCGCGTTAAGGTAGTTATATACGAGCAACTGACTAGTCTAGCATTCTCTTCAGAATTTTACCTGACAAAGCTTCACCAACGTCCTCGCCCCGACAACATCCAATGTACTGATCTCAATCCCCAGCTCAGACCTTGTCCAGTTTCGCAATTTGACCGCAACTAGAGAGTTAATCCCGTAGCTAGCTAACGGCCGACCAACCTCCACTATCTCCTCCACACCCAAAGGCGTATCAATACAGCGCTTACCACTTTCGCAACTGATGCTAGAAGAGTGGTATGATCCACCTTGCTGCTTAGGGATGCTCCAGAGTCCAGCGTTCTTTAGTACAGCCAGATGGCTCTGCTGACTAGCCACAGCCGTCGGCCTTAACTAGCTGAGCCGGCGGAACGGCATTAGAAGCGATACTGGTAGTAAAGATTTAGGGATTCCGATGATGAGACGCGTCTCACTATTGGGGTCGATCGGTGATGATGTTTGCTGCAAAATAGTAAAGCGTAAGATCTTATGCAACGCAACCTCGTTCAGGGCTGTCCAGCCCTCCGATTCCAGCCGCCGACTGATATGGTCCTGCTCTATGATATATTGACACCCAAGTTGACGGAGCATGCCTGAAGACCGAGTGTATGTCAATAGACAGCAAATATGTCTAGAAACGCGTTCCCGGTGGCATAGTTAGTCTGAGCTTTCTGGTAGACAAGGCCACCGCACACTTGATAGCAGTGCGAAGGAATCTTGGTTCACGTTCTGCTCTATAGACACATTGTGAAGATTCAAGGTCCCGACGACCTTCGGATAGATGGGTACGCGGAAATCATGCGGTGTCATGCTGGGAAGCTAAAGCCGACTGTCGACTGGCGAAACCAAGGCCATTGACGCTATTACTGTAAGATGCCCTCGGCAAACCGTTGCTATCCTAGCGAAAGATGGCGGTGGTGACAGAGGCGGTTTTCTAGCAGCTAATAGCGAGGACAAGGGCATCATATCGGACGTGGACGAATGAAACACCAACCCGAGCCCGCGGTCCTTTCAAGCGTTCCTATGCCGCTCTGCTTTTCCATAAACGCTGGTATCAATTTTGCATAGGCCTTCTACAGCGATGTGTCTGAGCAGTATAAGGGATCCTAACGTAGCATATCATTATCCATTCCGTCCTTAATATGGTTTCACATATATACATTCTAGTTGTTATTATCATAGCAATATCTTTCACGCCTCCTCAGCACCACGCAAGTACCCTATAACCTTCTCAACCAGGAACTTCCTCGGCTCCGCCTGATCATCATTACTCAAAGCATGCGAAGCATTCGGAATCACAGCACTATGCTCCTGATCCCAGATGGGGGCCTTCCCATCCCGATCCGTCACTTTCCTCCACTTCTCCAACAACTGCTCCTTATCAACCCAATCGGGAACCGACTGATCCGCCCCCGAAAACAAAACCATAAGCTTATGCTTCAGCAAACCTCCCTGTTTAATCTTCCCAAAGGTTTTCGATAGCTGTTCCTCACTCAAATCCGAGCTAAACATATCATCCTCTCCAGGAGAATCGGGGCTATCAGGACTAACAAGACTCAAAAGTCTCCGACAGCTAAGGGGCGTGTTGGGCGGATACCCCATGGTCCCTGTCAAATTAATAGGAAGCAAAGTATCAAACCCGCTATCCTTATCTTTCGCAACACCCTCTCTGGCCAGAGCCACAACCTTATCATAAATCTCCCGGACTTCGCTGGGCGACTTGCCCCCAATACCCCATTTAAGCACCCATTTGATCGCCTCCCGATCCGAGACAGGCGCCTGCATAATTGCACCGTCAAGGGCCATGCGCTTAATATGCTCCAGCGTCGGGTCGAACGCGGGAGTAGTGGTGTGCGGGTTAGGTCGGGAGAGGTAGTGCACTACGCACTGACTACCCGTCGAATGGCCCATGAGGACGATCTTTCCGTTGCCGAATTTCTCGGTCTTGTAATCTTTGATGTAGTTTAGACATTGGGCTATTTCGTTCGTGTCGCGGTCCAGATGGCCGAGACCCCATGATTGGTAGGATGATGTGAGGTTCAGGGTGAAGAGAGACCATTCTGTGGGTTGAAGGGCGTGTGCAAGGTCCGCCATATAGGATGTTGTTGCGAGGCCATCGCCTAGACCGCCAACAAAGAGGAGACTGTGTGGTTTTCTGACGGTCGAGGTTGTGTATTCGAATGTGACGAGGGTTTCGGTCTGGCATTCATCACCATCAAGTCAGTTATATTCATTATATATATTCGGTGAGGGTGACTCTCACATAATGATGGAGGATACCGGGAAGACCGCCCTTTGGCCAGAATTTAGAGTACATCTTGAACAGCTAACCAGATACAAGAGATCCTGATGTCACTTTTTTGCTTGGCTGATCGAACTCTTGTCAAACTAGTGAGTAGTAGTTCGTGTGTGTGTGTGTGTGTGTGGCTTTTGTGAACTAAGATTAAGTCAAGAAGTTCGTTGCAACAGTCCGTTTTCTGCAGGAGAGTGGAATTTCCGAGATCGGATTCATGTGCCTTTGTTTGGCGCTTTTCGTCGGCGTTGGGATGCGGTGGATATCTTCATGATGAGGGTGGTTCGACTCGAAATGACGGACCCACTTGTGAGTGGTTTGGTTCGGGTTGCGATGATAATTATCGGAACCGAAGCGACCCATTGACCCAGCGTAGCAGACTCCGGACACGAGGTGCAGGTTGTGAATGAAAAGAGAAAAATCAAATATTCTTGGCATATTATCTGGTATCAAGGACGTAATCGATTTATTACATGGTGTAAGATGTATTTCGGAGAATATTATGGACTAGTAACACCCAAGTGGAGCACAAACTTTCACCGGACATTGAAAATTGGATACAGGTACGCTAAGAAAATGGATCAGATTAGATATTCTGGCGGCAGTCGGGATCTGATTAGATTACCCTTCGGTCAAAGTCCCAATTCGGACTATAGACCTAAAGTTAGCAACTTTGAGCTCGGCTCTTGCGACGCTGCTGGGCATGGTCGAACAAATATCAGATTCGCCACTTTTAAAAGTAGTACCTCTTCCTTAGGACGAACACACTGCTTCGTCGCCTACTGCCAGGACCCGGGTTGTAGATAGCAGAAAATAATACCATAGGTGCATAAACATGTGCTCAGTCATTCGTATATGCAGCCTGGATGCACACCAGTCTACAATGAATTTATGGATCCCACCTCAATGTATCTTATCAGCGGCAGGTTCCGACACGTCGATGTAACTGGACACGATCAGGCATATATTCGCATCCTGCATGAATTACCCCTCAATACTATGGATCGAGAAGGCTGGGGGTCGCCAGACTGTTAGGCTATGTTTCCATCTTAATGTAAAGATACAACCTGGAACGACATTACATATTCCACTGGTTTCAGTACCTACTGAGGTCGTTGGGCACTGAAAATACTTTGTACCAGATAGAGACAATATGAAAATATATCTGCATTAACCCCATCTAGGAAGCTCATGATTCGCTCCATCCCGCCACCAGTAAGCTGCACATGGCATTCAACGTAGGGAACGTGCATAAAGACCCATTGTGCTCCGGTCTAGTGCCACATTAAAACTGAAACCTGCATATTAAAAGTTGTAGCCTTATTCAAGCCAAGCAGTAACATGACGAGTCACGAGAGGTGTGCGTGAATATTTCCTGATACTAAAACTCCTCCAATTGTAGTACAGAACAAGCGAGCCAAGATCACAGCCAAAGCTTGCGACAGCCACTCATGATTCTTGGGCTTGTAAATCTCGAACTCTGGGCGTATTCACTTTGAAAAACTACCACACCTGCCTGAGTCTGGTTTTGCGAAAGTGGGGACGAGGTAAACAAAAACGACGTGGTGATAATGTATTTTACCGTACTGTATGTACTATCAGCTACTTCAAGATACGTGGTAAGCTTGGTATTTTTGAAATCCACCGGCAACTTGGCAAACAAAACAT